GAATAGCCAGAGCCACTACCTAGTAATTTACAAATACAAAATTCCTAGTACTTGGATTGAAAGCTGTCAATAAAGAAATTGACTTTGCGCCTAGAGTCCCTATTTGACATAGCTGACTCTCCTATCAATAAGCCCCCTCATCTGCTTACCCAGTAGTGCTGATTTTCCTGCTTGCCTTTTACACACTCGTTACTCTTAAATTTGTGCCTTGAAATTCTGTCAACAATCTGCACACACTGAAGACTGTTTATCCTAACAAGTTTCTTCCATAGTGTCGTTCATCAGGATCCTACCATAGTCTGCTGGTAACAAAGCTTAATCAACTTGGAACCATATGATTCTGGGTTATCTGGAAAGCTAAGACTAAGGATATAATGCAATGATAATCTTTGAAGTTATCAAATGGTTGCAAAACTAAAAGTATAGTTTCACAGAATCATTTTGCTTCCCAAAGATATGCAACAACATCATTGTTTGGGAAAAAAAATTAAATTATATCGTTGGTAAGAGCTGAGCCCAAGTAGCTTCAAATGCATTTAGGTGTATTAGGTCCATCTGATGTCATGCTTTCATATATAACAATATCCCTAAAAAGTTGTGTAGCAATAGGGAGAGATATACTTGACTTCTGCTAATGAGTTTGGTATGCTTAAAACATTAAGCTTTTTAGATAGGCTCAAAACCAAACTGAATTTGCCATCCAAATCTTACTTTGGAAAAGAAATAAGCAATAGCTCTCACAAATTTTTAATAGGTAAATTACATTAGGCCAAAGCTGTCACTTAAATTCAAATCCCTATTTCTGAGTATGATGCATGATTTAAAGGTATTACAATTAATGAAAAATATAAACAAATGTTAACACCTTCATACAGCATTAAAAAAAAGCAAAAAAGCAGTGGAAACCTGAGTAAAAAGAAGCCAGGAAGCAGCTGAAAAAGAGACCGGTTCACTGTGAGAAATGTAAACCTCTCAGACAGTGCTACGGCCCCGAATCCAACAGCTCAGGAACAAGGCCAATTATTGCAAAATATTAAATGTATATGGTGAAGCTACAAACTTTTCAAGAGTCATAAGAATAACAACAGCTACACAGAAAACAGCTAGGGCTTTGTAAACCTAAAATCTTTACTATAATTACTACCTGCAGAAAAAGTTTCTTTATAGTATACCAAACTCCTTATATGCAGTGTACTTTACAGTATTCAAAGCATACATTTTATGATAAAGGTTTAAAGTAATAAATCTTTATTAGTGCAACTGGTAATCTGATCTTTTGAAATAGTTGCTTTTATTGATTCCAGTTATTGACAGTTGGTTGCCAAGCTGTTACAAACCAATTCTCTATTATTCTACCTTTCTGAACTAGAAATGACTCATATGAGACACAAAGAATCATGGAGTTTTAGAGTACACAGAGGCTTCAACAGACAATACAGTAAAACTTCCATACTTTGCAAATGAGTCCAACTGAAACTCAGTGGCTTTAAGTGATATGCCTAACACCAGTTAAAAATGACTAAGGGCCATCAGGATTCTGACTTTTATTTTGTTGTTCTTTCCATTATACAGTGCATTGTCCAGAAAGTCTTATGTGTGTAGCCAGGGTTTCTTCTGTTTCTGTTGATAGGGGTTTATGCAACCTTGTTTTGAATGAACAGTCCAGTAGTTTCACATTCGTAACAAAAGACTAGTACATTCATTTCCCCAGCAGTAATGTTAGTCCTGATTTCAGCTGGGGTCCACTGGCACACATGGGTAAAAGACCTAGAGCATTTTATCCTTGAGATATTTCCCCAACCTCCTCCCTACCCGCCAAAGGAAAAATAATAAAAGATTCCGTATTTCTACTGCCTATACCCTATCTGGTCTAAAAATACTTTGCTCAGTTGGGTTTGTTAATTGAGGGCAAAATTTCTTTGAGTTCAAATATAAACATTTAAACATTACTTGTGCCATAGTGAAAAAAAAAAAAAAAAAAAACCACGCCAAATCTACTAGTGTTTTCATTATTTGGTTGAATAGCTTCACCCTTTTATGTAATTAAAAAAAAAACATGCTTCTTGACACTTTGTGGGGTAAGCAAGTGTTGTTTGACAAGACATAAAAATATAAGATATGAAAAATTATTTCTCATTTTTAAGCAGATTGGGATAGTAGAATGTAGAGAGGTAAGAAAATAAAAGCCAAAAGGAATCCCAGAAGTATGTTTCCATATAAAAATGTAAATTATGAGACAGTAATTGCTATATATCTGTAAAAAAACCTCAAAAACAATAAACTGTCTTGTTAATTTCCCAGTACATTTTACTTTTCTACACTAGGGCACATACAAACATTAACACATACTTTTCTGTTAATTTTTTTTTTTTTATTTTGAGACTGAGTCTCACTCTGTTGCCCAGGCTGGAGTGCAGTGGTGCCATCTCGGGTCACTGGAACCTCTGCCTTCCAGGTTCAAATGATTCTCCTGCCTCAGCCTCCCAAGTAGCTGGGATTACAGGTGTGCGCCACCACGCCTGGCTAATTTTTTTTTTTTTGTATTTTTAAAGTAGACACAGGGTGGCATAATGTTGGCCAGGCTGGTCTCAAACTCCTGACCTCAGATGATCCACCCGCCTCGGCCTCCCAGAGTGGTGGGATTACAGGTGTTAGCCACCACGCTTGGCCTTCTGCAAGTTTTGACATAAAAATTAACGATGAGCTAACTATAGAAAAGTCTTTAGATTACAACTTTTAAAAAAGAGTTAAAATCCCCACTAATTCTATGAAAAGATTCAATACAATTACCAACACAATAGTTGGCACTGGCACTGCTGAACTTTTCTTTAAAGGAAAATTATCTATGATACTTATTAGCATAACAAAATTCCTTTCTCTTTTAGATAAGAATGTTTTGAGGATTTATTCCTTTTATTCTTCAAACTGAATGAGTCAACTAACTTAAGCTGTAAGTTAAGAGGATACTATATAAAATAGCTGAAAGGACAAGTCTAGCTTTTACTATATTATGACTGACTCAAAAGAGTCAAATACAATGTCAAACATTTTTCAAAGACACGATTCTCTTTTTTGCGCCTGTAGCACTATTCAGATGCCATCTGATTGTTTCTTCCTTCTCATCATAACTAGCATCAGAGAAAACCCCACAATTAAATATCACCAATAATAAACACATGCTATCTGTCACATAGATGTTTTTACCCCTGATCAGGCATATTTAGTTGTATTCCATTAAGTGTCTTTTTTTTTTTTTTGCAGAGAGGCAATTGTACTTGCACACTAGTCCCAATTTGAGATTGAAAGTGATTTTACAGGCAGTTTGACCATGGAGAGGGATAAAAATTTTGCCATGTTGAAGAACAAAATTAGTAAGCTAACACAAATACAGAACAAAGGATTTTTGCCTGCCTAGGATGTACTAATGAATTAAGTTAATTAGTCACACACAAGGATATTTAAATGAGTAGCATAAAGGTACATTTCTTTATTATGGCATCAGGTACAGTCTGTGTTATAATTTTGGAAGACAAAAATCAGAAAAAAAAATGAAAATTATATTACTTGAGGTCCAGAAAAATTCAGAAAATTGTTTCTGAATAAAACACCAATGTATATAAAGCTAATGAGCAATACCAGCTAATGAGCAGTATCACAACCAATGTTCCCACGAACAGAGAATAATTTTTGATACCTTTTGAAATTATATCATATACTAGTTACATTATTTGATGTGGACTGTATTATTAAATTTTAGGTAGCTTGGAACTACAGTTGTAACTTGGCTAAAATGACGAATGTTTGTATTCAACATTCTTTGGAAGAACATTTGTCACAGGTACATACAAGGCTAGTAACATATTAAAAAGGGGAGAACCTGTAAACTAACCACGAGACAACTCCTAAGGGTACCAGATTAAGGACCTGGAAGTTATCCTGCATGGCTACGCTAAGCATGAACTATATCTAGCAAAGAAAGTTAGTGAGTCACACTGATCACTGAAGACTGCAACAGTAAAGAGAAGTATGACTACTATTCACCAGATGGGCCAGTGCAGAGATGCTTCTCCTAAACTGGTGGTAACCCTGAAGAGTTTCACACAATATCAAGAGTAGTAAACAGCCTCAGTGGAGGTGGAAGTTATGGGTTCCTCAGTGAGTCACACTCACATAGTCTGGGAGCCTCCAATAGTGAAAAGCAGTTAAGAAAGCTCTAAAGAAACCAATGATAAAATTCTACTTCAACTCCTAGAGTTATAAAAGGCTGAATAAATACCTTATTAAACATCTGGGAAGTACACATCTAGGTGAGAAGCATATAGAGAAATGAGTTCATTAAAAAATTAGTAAGATAGTTTTATACACTGAGATCAAAATTGTTTTCACTGAATGCTTGAAGAAAATCTGCAGAGTGCTAAAACAAAAACAATGCTGAGTTTTAATAAATTTCATTTAAGTGGCCTTAGATTATATTTTGTTTAAAAATACTTTTCACTATCAATCAACAAACTGAAAAGCAAAACACAGAAAATATGCTAAGTACATAATTTCTTTCAAAGGCATACTTACTAAAAGATCAAAATATCATCCCTAGACTAGGGTTCTCAATCCAAGTTAGGTGGTTTTGATCTTTGCTTCTGGTTAGCTATTGATAAGTCATCTTGCCTTGCCTTGCCTCTCTTGCCGTTACCATAGGTGATTTATCAGGCTGCAAAGACAGCTTCAATTTCAATGGCAGTGAGAGATGGCAGCCACTTAAAAAACTGCTTAAGATATTCCCAGATACTCCCAACCCTTTAGCATGTAGACCTGACACTGTAGTACTTTCCAGAGGATGCTGAGATTTGCTCACTCTTTTAATCTCACTGGTTTGCAAACTCATATGTATGAACATATTCGAGATCCTGAGAGACTGAGTAGGTACTACTTAAGAGCAATACTGAAATAGAAGATGGGAAAAAGCATGGCTCAGAAGTTATGACATAAGAAACACAACTCACCTGTCTGCTGTGCAGGTTGTGGCAGTGGTTGGTTTAGATGTGAATTGTAATGAACAGAAGGGACTGGGCGATACTGAGGTTGGCTGGAGTGATAGTGGCCTGGAGTGCAATAACAGGCTGGCATCTAGGATCATAAATATTGTGGGAAAAAAAATCAATTTTACTTGCATTACATGTTTTCCTGTGAGGAAGATCAGAGTTTAATGAATAATAATTCTTTTTAGCACTAATCATCCGAAAACTGCTTTTTCTTAAATTTAACTGAAATTTTTAAAAAAATTCAAACATACAGTATGCATAAAAAGGTAACTAATGTGTCACCAATCATATTTAGATTTTAATTTTTTTGCCATATTTCCTTCAGATCTCTTAAAAAACCAAACATTACTTAATTAGCTAAAGACTCACCCTATTTCCTTTACTCTTAACTTCCGTAGAAGCCATTATTCTGTAATTGGTGATTTTACTATATATATCTGTTTACTATGTATCTATTATCCTTACATGTATTAGTATTTTATTTATTTTTAGTTTTTTTTTTTTTTTTTTTTGGGAGGTGGAGTCTTGTTCTGTTGCCCAGGCTGGAGTGTAGTGCTGCGATCACGGCTCACCACAACCTCCGCCTCCCAGGTTCAAACAATTCTCCTGCCTCAGCCTCCCGAGTAGCTGGGATTATAGGTGTGCACCACCATGCCAGGCTAATTTTTCTATTTTCAGTAGAGATGGGGTTTCACCATGTTGGCCAGGCTGGTCTCAAACTCCTGACCTCAAGTGATCTGCCCACCTCAGCTTCCCAAAGTGCTGGGATTACAGGCATAAGCCACTGCACCCGGCCGAGCACTTTAAAAATCCAAATGTCCAAAATCTGAAATACTCCAAAATCTTTAACTTTCTGAGTACCAACATGATGCCAAAAGCATCATATCATGTCAGTACACAAAAAGAAACTCCACACGTGACCTCATGTGACAGGTTACAGTCAAAACTTTACGTCATGCATGAAGTTACTTAAAATATTGCTTATATTACCTTAAGGCTGTGTGTATAAGATGTATATGAAACAAATGAACTTGGTTTTAGATTTTGGGCCCTATCCCAAGATATCTCATTGCATATATGCAAATATTCCAAAATCCAAAGAAAAAAAAAAAAAAACTGAAACTTCTGGTCCCAGGCTTTTCAAATAAGGGAAACTCAACTACATATAACTTCATGAAACTTATTTTGCAATTCATATTGTTTTTGAGACATCTTTCTTTATTGAAACATATACAGCTAGCTCATTCAATTTAACTGCTGAAGAACATTCATTGTATAAACTATTTTATCCATTCCCACATTAATGCACAGTTATACTGGTTCCATTCTTTAATTTTTCTCATACAGTCATGTATCACAAAGTGACATTTTGGTTAATGACAGATTGCATATATGATGGCGGCCCCCTAAGATTATAAAGAAGCTGAAAAATTCCTATCACCCAGTGATGTCATAGCATAATACATCACTCACATGTCTGTAGTCCTACTGTGCTAGCAGTTGTTTAAAAGTATAGCAGACAGTATGTAAGACTTGGTAATGATAATAAATGGCTATTATTGGTTTATGTATTTACTACATTTTAAACTATTATTTTAGAATGTAGTCCTTCTGGGCCGGGTTTGGCGGCTCACGCCTGTAATGCCAGCCCTTTGGGAGGCTGAGGCGGGAGGATTGCTTGAGCCCAGGAGTTCGAAATCTGGCTGGGCCACACAGTGAGACCCTATCACTACTGAAAATTAAAAAAATAGCTAGGTGTGGTGGCGCACACGCCTGTAGTCCTGGATACTCAGAGGCTGAGGTGGGGATTACTTGAGCCCAGGAGGTCACAGCTGCAAGTGAGCAGTGCTTGCACCACTGCACTCCAGCCTGAGTGACAGTGGCAAGAGCCTGTCTTAAAAAGAATGTCCTGCTACTTATTAAAAACTACAAAACAGATTCAGGGCCGGGGGGCAGGGGCTCACACCTGTAATCCTAGCACTTTGGGTGGACCACTTGAGCTCAGGAGTTCGAGACCAGCCTGGGCAACATGGTGAAACCCTGTCTCTACAAAAAATACAAAAATTAGCCAGGTGTGATGCGCGTGTCTGTAGTCCCAGCTACTTGGGGGGCTGAGGTGGGAGAACTGCTTGAATTTGGGAGGTTGAGGCTTCAGTGAGCCAAGATCGTGCCATTGCATTCCAGCCTGGGTGACAAAGTGAGACCCTGTCTCAAAAAACAAAAAACAAAAAACCAAAACAAAACCCAAACCAAACACACACACACACACACACACACACACACACACACACACAGACTCAGGTAGGTCTTTCAGGAGGTATTTCAGAAGACGGCATTGTTATCATAGGAGATGACAGCTCCACATGTGTTACCACCTCTGAAGACCTTCTAGAGGGACAAGATGTGGAGGTGGAAGACAATGATGCTGATGATCCTGAACTGAGTAGGCCTAGGCTAATACGCACGTCTGTATCTTAGTTTTTAATTAAAAAAAATTAAAGAGAAAGAAAATTTAAAAATTCATAAAAGAAAACCTTTAGAATAAGGATATAAAGAAAATATTTCTGTATAGCTGTACAATGTATTTGTGTTTTAAGCTAAGTTTTATTACATAAGAATAAAAAAGTGAAAAGAATTAAAATGTTTATAAAGTTACTGTAAGCTAAGGTTAGTTTATTATTGAAGAAAGAAAAATGTATTAGATAAATTAAGTGTAGCCTAAGTGAAGAGTGTTTATGAAGTCTACAGTAGTAAAATGTCCCAGGCCATCACATTCACTCACCACTCACTGACTCACCTAGAACAACTTACAGTCCTGCAAGCTGCATACATGGTTAATTGCACTATATCAGTGACATAATTGCTGGTGCATTCCACTTTAAACACTTTTTTTTTTTTTTAAGATCTTCTTGTGCCAGCTGGGTGCATGGCGATCTCGCTCACTGCAATCCTCCCGATTCACCATTCTGCCCAGCTCCGAGTGCTAAGGCCCACGCCCTTTTTTTTTTTTTATAAACGTTCATGTTTTCCTACCTTTGCCTCGGCCCCAATCGATCAGCGTCCCCGCCGCTTCCAGCCGAGGCCAGGCAGATCACGAGTTTATCAGCCTGGCCAACAAAGTCAAACCCCGTCTCTCCTAAACATACAAAAAGTCAGCCGGGCGTTGTGGCACGCGCCTTGTAGTCTCAGCTACTCAGGGGCTGAGGCAGTAGAATCACTTGAACCAGGGAGGCGGATGTTGTGGTGAGCTAAGTTCTTACCACTGAACTCCAGCCTGGCGGCAGAGCAAGACTCCATCTCAAAAAAAAAAAAAAAAACCAAAAAACTTTTATATCATATTTTTACGTACCTTTTCGGTTTACATATGTTTAGATACACAAATACTTATCATTGTTATATAACTGCCTACAGTATTTAGTACAGTAACATGTTGTATAGGTTTGTAGCTCGTAGGCTATACCATATAACCTAGGTTGTGTAGAGGGCTACACCATCTAGGTGTGTGCAAATACACTTTGTGACATTCACACAATGACAAAACCCACTAGAGATGCATTTCTCAGAAAGTATCTCTATCATTAAATGATGCATGACCATATTTCTAATGCAAATTAAAATGCCATCAAGACTATCTTGATTTATTTTTCCTTCCAGAGCTATTACTATTAGTTATGAAGTTCTCTTAATCTGACCTTGTTTGGGGTGAAGAATAAACACCTAATCCGGTATTACAGAAGCACGTGGGTAAGTTAACTTCAACAGTGTCATGGGCTTGCTCACACTCTGCCCTTCTGATTGGGTTATTTGTAAAAAGAACACAGATCTGTGGCGATCTTAAAGAGTGCTCATCTCATCTGAAAACCAGCCAGGTGTAACATTCCTAGGTTAGTTTTTAGCCAAGAATCTCTCAAATTTACTGTAGATCTCCTGTCTTTGAAGCATTAAAATAGACACAATACATACGGGATCCCTTAACTGTTCCTGGAGGTATCAGAAAGTAATCTAAATCCTGAGTTTATTTTCCTTTAATTAAAGAAGGTATCTTTTTTATTTGGCTGGATTTGGATTTGGCTGAAGTAAAGTGGTGCAATCTCAGTTTACTGCAACCTCCAATTTCCAGGTTTAAGCAATTCTCCTGCCTCAGTCTCCTGAGTAGCTGGGATTACAGGTGCCTGCCACCACACCTGGCTATGTTTTTTTTTTTTGGTATTTTTAGTAGAGATGGGGTTTCACCATGTTGGCCAGGCTGGTTTCCAACTCCTGACCTCAAGTGATCCGCACATCTTGGCCTCCCAAAGTGCTAGGATTACAGGCTTGAGCCACTGTGCCTGGCCAGTATCTCTCTCTTTTTAAAATTGAGATGGAGTCTCGCTCTGTGGCCCAGAAGTGCAGTGGCATGATCTCAACCTCTCATCGCAACCTCTGCCACCCAGGTTCAAGCAATTCTCGTGCCTCAGCCTCCCAAGGTAGCTGGGATTATAGGTGCCTGCCACCATGCCTGGTTAATTTTTTTTTTTTTTTGAGACGGAGTCTGGCTCTGTTGCCCAGGCTGGAGTGCAGTGGCCGGATCTCGGCTCACTGCAAGCTCCGCCTCCCGGGTTTACGCCATTCTCCTGCCTCAGCCTCCTGAGTAGCTGGGACTACAGGCGCCCACCACCTTGCCCGGCTAGTTTTTTGTATCTTTTAGTAGAGACGGGGTTTCACTGTGTTAGCCAGGATGGTCTCGATCTCCTGACCTCGTGATCTGCCCGTCTCGGCCTCCCAAAGTGCTGGGATTACAGGCTTGAGCCACCGCGCCCGACCTAATTTTTTTTTTGTATTTTTAGTAGAGATGGGGTTTCACCATGTTGGTCAGGCTGGTCTCGAACTCCTGACCTCAAGTGATCTGCCTGCCTCAGCCTCCCAAAGTGTTGGAATTACAGGCGTGAGCCACTGTGCCCGGCTGCCAATATCTCTTTTAAGGCAAAAATGATTAACACTATTTTTGGTATATACTATATAGAGATGCAATGTATATGGCAACAACAGCAATAGGATGGAGAATGTGAATGGAATTATACTGTTGTAAGGCTGCTACATTTTACTTGAAATTTCAATATTAACTTGAAGTAGATTTTGATAAGGTAAAGGTAGATAAAGGTAGATAACACAGTCCCTAGAAAAACAAACACATTCAGAAAATTCAAGGGGATGTACCTAAAAAGACAATACTAAAGAAAGTGAACTGAAATGCTCACTTCGGCAGCACATATAATAAAATTGGAACAATGCAGAGAAGATTAGCATGGACACTGCACAAGGATGACACAGAAATTCGTAAAGTATTCAATATTATTTTAAAAAAGTTCAAATAATATAAAATGCAGGAAAGTAGAATAAAATACAGATAGGGCAAATAAAAAAAATAGCAATGTGGCATACCTGAATCTAACTATGTCAAAAATACATTAAATTTAAAGGGTCTAATGACACTGAAATCATTGTATAAAGAGGCAGAACCCAACTAATAACCATAAATGAAAGACACTTTAAATATAGGGGTTGCAAGTAAGGTAGAAAAAGACATACCATTTAACTGTTACTCAAAAGAATGACACTCTATAATGTCAGATAAAATAGGTTTCAAGAAATACTATTAGAGACAGAGAAAAACATTATGTATGAGTCAATATATCAGGAAGACATGATAAATATAAATTGCTTAATATAGCTTCAAATACTATAAAAAACTGACAGAACAGGGAAATAGACAAGTCCCAAAGCAATAGAATATGAAATCAATGATGACCAGAGTAAATGAAAAAACACCCCATGCTCATTTAAGACTGGAAAATTTAATAGTCAGTATGGCAATAATATCAAAGGGATCTACATATTCCACGCAATACCTATCAACACGCCAATGGTCTTTTTTTGCAGAAACAGAAAAGCCCATTCTCAAATTCATATGGAACCGCAAGAAGCCTGAATACTAAAAACAATTTTGAAGAAGAACAGAGTAGGAGTACTCACTCTTTCCATTTTTAAAAGTTACTACAAAGCCACAGCAATGAAAACAATGTAGTACTGGCAAAAGGGTAGAAATACATAATGTGGTAAAAGTGAAAGCCCAGGAAAAAACCCTTACATTTATGGTCAATGGATATTTGACAGGGATTCCAAAGTTATTTAATGGGGAAAGAAAAGTATCTTCAACAAATAATGCTAGAATAACCAGATATATACTTGAAAAAGAATGAAGATGAACTCTTGCCTCACACCATATTCAAAAATTAACTCAAAATGGATAAATAAATGACCTAGGAGCTAAAAACAAAGCACTTAAAAGACAGGACTACATTTTCGTGACCTTTGTTTTGGCAACAAATTCTTAGATATGACACCACAAGCACGAGAAATAAAAGAAAAAAATGGATAAAGTGAACTTTACCAAAATTAAAAAACTTTTATCCATCAAAGAACATTATTAAGAAACTAAAAAGACAATTTTACAGAATGAGTCAAAATAATTGCATATCACTTATCTGACAAGGGTCTAGTATCCAGAATACATAAAGAGCTCTTAGCTCAATAATAAAAAGACAAATATATATATATATATACACACACACACACACAGACATACATTTAATACATATACACACATACTCCAAAAAACTGAAAACAGGTATTAAAAAAATACATGTACCTACATATTGAAAACAGCACTATTTACAGAAACAAAAGATGAAAACATTCCAAATTTTGGCCACGTGTGGTGGCTCATGCCTGTAATCCCAGTACTTTGGGAGGCCGAGGTGGGCGGATCACTCGAGGTCAGGAGTTCCAGACCAGCCTGGTCAAAGTGGTGAAACACTGTCTCTACTAAAAATACAAAAATTAGCTGGGTGTGGTGGCTCATGCCTGTAATCCCAGCTACTCGGGAGGCTGAGGCAGGAGAATTGCTTGAACCTGGCAGGTGGAGGTTGCAGTGAGCCGAGATCACACTACTGCATTCCAGCCTGGGCAACAAAGAGAGACTCTATCTCAAAATAAATAAATAAATAAACAAACAAAAAAGAAAGAAAGAAAAGAAAAGAAAAGAAAAGATTCCAAATTTCAATTAATGGATAAAAAAGTAAATTATGAATAGTGTGAACAGATTTTTAAGTATGAATACATTTTAAGTATGAATAGTGTGCCACTGTGTGTGTGTGCGCGCGCGCGCGCGCGCGCGAGCGCACAGGCCTAAGCTACAATGTGGCACGGGCCTAAGCTACAATGTGGCGCAGGCCTAAGCTACAACTTTGCAAATATTATGTTAAGTGAATTAAGTCAGACACAAAAGGTAACAGGTCGCCTGATTCCATTAATATCAACTATTCAGAATAGGTAAATCCACAGGAGACAGAAGCAGATTGGTGGTTGCCAGAGGCTGGGAAATGGGGCAATAAGTAGCAACTGCTAACAGGTATGGGGTTTCCTTTTGGAGTGATGAAAATGCTTTGGAACCAAACAGAAGTGGTGGTTGTACAACACTGTGAATATGTACTAAATGCAACTAAAATGTTCACATAAAAATGGTTAAATGGTTAATTTTATATTATGTGAATTTCAATAAAAAAATCAAAATGCCCTGCCTCACAAAAAAATCCTGAACAAAAAAACACATAACACTAAAATATTAGAACACGAATTCTCAGCTCACTGCAACCTCTGCCTACCGGGTTCAAATAATTCTCCTGCCTCACGCTCACGAGAAGCTAGGATTACAGGTGCACACCAGCATGCCCAGCTAATTTTTGTATTTTTATTAGAGATGGGGTTTCACCATGTTGGCAAAGTTGGTCTCAAACTCCTGACCTCAAGTGATCTGCCCATCTTGGCCTCCCAAAGTGCTGGGATTACAGACATAAGCTACTGTGTCCGGCTCAAAACACTGAAATCTTAAAAGAGTGAGCTCTCTGACCACATATAATTAAAATAGCAATCAATAACGAAAAGTATTTAGAAAGCCCCTAAATATTTGGAAATTAAATAACATACTTCTAAGTAAGTCATGGGTCATAAAAAGTCCTCCTAAAAAACAAAACATTTTAAACTAAATAATAACTAACATGCTACATATCCAAATTTGTGGATAGCACCAAAATGTTGCTTAGAAATTTGCAGCATTAAAAAAAAAAAAAAAAAGAAATGTATAGCATTAAAAACTTCTATTAGAAAGAAGAAAAATCTAAAATCGCTGAAAATAAAATCATAAAAATTCATGAAACTTTTTTTTTTTTGAGATGGAGTCTCGCTCTGTTGCCCAGGCTGGAGGGCAGTGGCTCAATCTCGGCTCGCTGCAACCTTCATGTCCTGGGTTCAAGTGATTCTCCTGCCTCAGCCTCCCCAGTAGCTGGGATTACAGGCGTGCACCACCATGCCTGGCTAATTTTTGTATTTTCAGTAGAAAAAGTGTTTCACCGTGTTGGCCAGGCTGGTCATGAACTCCTGACCTCAAGTGATCCACCTGCCTCAGCCTCCCAGAGGGCTGGGATCGCAAGCGTGAGCCACCACCTCCAACCGGTTTTTTTTTTTTTTTTTTAAGAACATCAAAAGAATTGATAAACCATCTGGTTAAATTAATAAACAAAAACGAGAGTGTAAAATTCCCATATCAAGAAATAAAGAGGGAACACCACTAAGATCCTAAAGATATTAAAAGCATAAGGGGATATTAAGAACAATTTTATGACAAGCTTGAAACATGAAATGGACACAAATTATGACAATTAGTCCAAAGAGAAACAGAGAACTGGAATCCTTTTATATCTACTAAGAAATTAAATTTGTAATTTAAAACCCTTCCCTGCAAAAAATCTCCAGTTATAGATGAATTCATTGATGAATTCTGGCAAACATGTGAGAAGTAACATCAATCCTACACAAACACCTTTAGAAAATAAAGGAGGAGGGAACAATGCCCAACTCATTTTAAGGCTAGTACCACCCAGAGAGTACAACCAAAAATACTACAAGCGAACTGCAGACCAATATCCTTCATGAACATAGATGCAAAAATCTTTAACAAATATTAGCAAACTGAATCCCACGACATATAAGGATAGTCTGTTTCAGAAATTAAAAGTCAGTTAAACATTCAAAAGTTTCGCCATGTTGCCCAGGCTGGTCTCCAACTCCTAGGCTCAAGTCCAGCCTTGTGAGTCTGCCTCAGCCTCACAAAGTGCTGGGATTACGGGTGTGAGCCACTGTGCCCTGCCTTACCATTTTATTTTTACAGTGGATTTACACTTTATTGTGTTTCCCTTAGGTTAGTTTTTTAGAAACCCATACCTCTCAGTCAGAAAAAAAACCCTTAAAGCTCACATACTTTACCAACCAACTGGAGCATTTACCTGTCATATGGTTGCTTAGCACGTGCATGAAAATCTCCAGAGGAGGAAAGATGACTATATGCTTTGTTTATAGACTCTGACAAATTCTCTTCATGAGAATTTAAAAACAAGTTCTTTGAAGTTAAAACTGATCTTAAGTGAGAGGTTTCCACAAGAAAGAAAAGGTTAAAAAGCAATATACCTGTGGTGATGGCTGCTGAATATATCCCTGCTGCTGGAGCACAGGCTGGCTGACAGGATGACCAGAGGCAGAATATCCAGCAGTAGGGACTGGCTGCCCAGGTGGTAGGGGAGGAGGAGGAGGTGGTGGTGGTGGCGGTGGAGGAGGATGTGGTGGAGGGGCTGCTGTCATGATATAACCAGACTGCTGTGGAGACTGAAGAACCACAGTGGACTGGAACATGGTGGTATGAGGGTCAGAACCATCAGTAGATGGCTGGCGAGCAAGACTCATGTGACTAAACTGAGACCCAAGGTTATCCTGCTAAAAAAGGAACAAGTCAAAAATTAGTAAGCCTTCTACACATAGGCCAAACTTATCAAAGAAAAATACTTCCTATTTTAAAATAAGGTACAGTGGTACATATTATGGAAATTATATATCTCTACAACAGCAATAATGTAACAGAGTGAAGCTTCAAAAAAATGACAACTCTATTGTTGAATATTACAATGCTGTCATTATAAATTATTTAAAAAATATATCTAATGGGGATGTACAGCATGCAGAAAAGAGTAGGGTACAACATTTCACATTAAAACATGAAGACATTTATTTAAATGAAGATGAAAGTTAACATTAGAATGTAGAAGTGAAATTGGCCATGTTCATATTATACAATTAGTATTTTCTGAAAGGACTTCAAAAACCAAGCAATGAGCAAGGTACTAATTAGTTTTGCTTTAAATTATCTCCCCTCTTCCTAGAAGGCAAAATTCAAATTCTATGCATTTTTGTATCCCTAACCATGAAAATTACTTGTAGAAATTAAATACATAAAATCCAACTACACAGTCCTTTCTCTAATCTTTCAGAAATAATTTGGCCATACATTCCATTCTTCCCTTGTGTTTTTCAGTCTGTTCTGGAAGTCAGATAATTTGACAAATGTAAGTCAAATGACAGTTTCCTATGCTTTTGCTAAATGGTGCCCTACCAAGACAAGGGTTATGATTTATGTGCTATCTGACAAACATTTCTCTAATTCAACAGGATAAGGACCAGCTCTTATTGTTCCAGAAAAATATAACTGAAATGATGATATAGGGTTAAAATGCTCCCTATTCCCAAGAAACTACAGACTGGCAACAAAATATACCACATTTTGTTAAAAGGTTAACACAAAATTGTGGCAATTGAGTCATCAGATCAAAGCTGCCATGTCTGCAGTTTCTAGATCTACTGGATTTTCCGAAGAAAATTAAGGCTATGGAGAAGATAAAGGACCGAAAGGAGACGCCTGATTTAATGATTGAAAATATATGGTTTTTCTCTTCCCAAATAGTCACTCTGACATACTCTAGCACTATTAGCCTAACTTAGTGAATGCTTTCAAAAAGAAAAAAATGTACCTATGAACTGTAATTTCAATGTTATATGATCAAATATTGTTAATAGAAGTACCATAACTGTATACCACTCTCAAAGTCACCTTGGAAAAAAGTCATTTTCTTATTCCAATAAAAATTGGGGGCATACTTTGGATTGAAGAAAGTATCATTACTTTACAGTCACAGATTAAATATCCAGAAATCTTCTTAGAAAATACACTTAGAAGTCCTCTGTAGATGTAAGCTACAACTCGCCCTAAGAACTGGTACTGAGTCTACTGGACCTTCACTATTGGTGAGAAAATACAATGCCTAAACTCAGATGAAAGCTACCATCCCAGGACAGCAAAGATCCTGCACTGGTCTCAATGAGAAAGTTGCTGAAACATATTAGGACTAGAATAATCAACCTGAAAATTCTTTCATTATGAAAAAGCAGGAAAAGATTAAACAATCACCATAATAAGCCACTATAACCAATATTTTATGGAACAGAATAAATTATTTCTACTATGAATTAGAAATACTTTTTTTAGATACATATGTAAACCTGACTCAAAAAAATCACAAAAGATCGTATTACATTAATGACACTCTTGAGCACTCATCACACATCCACCCACAGAAACAACGCAGGAGGTGAATAGAGATATAGTACCACGGAGTATTGCTGGGTGGGTGAGACTGGCAGGAGCGGGGATGGGTAAGGGGCTGTAGAGTACTGAACAGGCTGTGAAGAGGACTGCAGAGGACGAACAGGCTAAAGAATAACAGGTTGGCAAACAATGTTAATGTCAGAATAAAACGTTAGAAGAATTGCATAAAATGGAAATTTACACTTTTTTGGCAATAGCTTTAACCACATTTATAAAGTCATTTAAAATATAACAACATAGGAAACAACAAAAACAATACAAAGTGAAGAAATTCTAATACAGTAAAAGTTTCAAAAACATGTATGCCTGAATTTATTACATAATTAGGAGGATAATTTTTTGCAATAAAATATTTCTTTATTATAGATTAATGGGAACAGGTGATTTAGGCATTTTGAATCCTATTATTTAACCAAGACCCCTGGGTTAAGTCAGTCAAAGCAAAACTACTTCTCATTATTTCCTGGTTTTATGAAAGGGCTGCCCTATTTTGCAGTATAATACTAAATTATAAATGAAAAAATTCATTCTTACTATCAGACAGCAATAACTTACACAATAACTGTTACAATTACCCTACTGATAAGGCAAAATTAAGCAGTCTTTTGGGACCAAAGCCCCTAACTTTTAGCAATTTTATTTTATTTTATTTATTTATTTTTTTTTGAGACTGAGTTTCGCTCTGTTGCCCAGGCTGGAGTGCAGTGGCGCAATCTCGGCTCACTGCAAGCTCCGCCTCCTGGGTTCCCCATTCTCCTGCCTCAGCCTCCCGAGGAGCTGGGACTACAGGCGCCCGCCACCGCGCCCAGCTAGTTTTTTTGTATTTTTTTTAGTAGAGACAGGGTTTCACCGGGTTAGCCAGGATGGTGTCGATCTTCTGACCTCGTGATCCACCCGTCTCGGCCTCCCAAAGTGCTGGGATTACAGGCTTGAGCCACCGTGCCTGGCCAGCAATTTTATAAGAAAAATGCACTGGGTAAAAAAATACAGTGGGAACTATTAAGAATGATAGCCTAAGGAACAACACACATATACATACAGACACATGCACACACACACACACAAACACATCTCTTTTATATAAGGAAGATAAACACTTCCTTTGTAATTAAACACATTTCTATTAAGATAGTACATGTTAGGAGCTGAGAAACTAGTTACTTAAAATCTCTGGCCGTTAATCAAATATTCCTGAGTTTCTGGAAAAAAAAGGTTTTATGTTTCCCGGGGGCACTCAAAAACAGGTGTTATTTTTTAAAAGAAGTTGTAATCACTTTTCAATCTTGGGAATACAGCTGGCCATCTACTAACTAAAATTGGCATCTGTTTAATTTTCTCATATTTATACTGTTTATTACAAAAAAGGTAATATACATATTGGGTAAAGACTATAGCAACCCACTTTACAGAAGGCAATCAGACTAAGGTCAATTAAGTGACTTGTAGACAGTCACATAAGCAAGTAGATGAGGAACCCAGGGAATCTTACTTGATGAAAACTCTTAGTTAAAATGTATATTCATGCATCTCCTTCTGAACAATATCTCTGAAGACAATACTTTAAAAATGTTCGATAAACTAACGGAATTAAGATTGTTCAGGCAATAGTTTAAATAGAGAACTTCTATGTCAACTAAGATAGACATTGTTTGTCTATAACATGAGAGATATTAGATAATGATTTGAGTTGCACTTTTACCACAAAATCAACACAATGGTTTCTAAAAAACAAAGGCTTAGATAAACTTAAAATAAAGCAAAAAAACTATAATTAAAGCATTAAAAAAATCTTTCAGTAAAAGCTGAAAGATCCATAAAGTAGCATCTGGTTCCTCACAAAACTCATGGCTAGAAATAAGTGAGCTTCCGAATGGATGACAGTACATATTATACTACATGAGGTGCAATAGATTTAGAATTTTCAAGAACAGACTACTTGATGTGTTATTAAGTCAGATAACCATTAAGACATAACTTTCAGATGACTTGACCTCCTATGTAATTGTCAGATGAAACAAAAGTTTTAGTCAGCTGCGGGATTAAGGAAAGTACTAAGAGCACCAAGGGTATGAATTAATGTCTTCCTGAGTTTCAGAGAGTAATGAAAAAAACTGTGAAAGTGAAATTCTGACACCATTTAGAGAAGAAAAAGTCTTAGCACAATCCTTTTCCTACTTGAATTGCAATTCGCTGCAAAACAACATCCACCTAAAGTAACTGGTTTTATGTTACGTCCAAAAAAAGTAGCTCTTCTGCAGGCTTTGGAAATCATAGCATTATTTTGTTTGGTTATTTGAAATCTCACTGATGAATTATTTCAGATTGTGCAAAATATATTTATTTAGAATCACTTGTTCTTTGAGTCTCTGTTTCTGGATCTGATGATGCGTTACCTGAAACACTTGGAGCAATGCTAGAAAAATAAGTTATGAAATTTGGTGAATATCCCAAGAATTCAAATTATAGCTCATTAAAGCATCTGTTTCTAAATTAGGTGGCCTACACCTTCATTTAGAACTGTCTCTTATAACTAAATCAGACAAAGTTCTAAGAGATAATAATCTGAAAAGATAAATCCCAGAGTTTTTTAAAGTTGCCAGATTGACATTATTTCCACTGAAATTTAAATAAAAATGAAACCAAATGAAAATTAGTGCTTTAAAGCTCCTGGTGAAATACATGGCACTGCAAAGACAACTACATGACTGCATAATAAAGAGGAAACTCTTTGGGACCAAGCTGACTGAAGCCAAGACAGAGAAAGCCAGGGAAGAAGTTTTATGCAAGCTCAGTGTATGTAACCAAATGGGATTGGGAGGGGAATATGGGAGTCTGTGGAAATAGTTTCAGGTAATCTCTTCTACATACATTAACTGATTTGTATGGTCTTAGAAGTGTATCCAAAGCCTGTAAGTTCTTCTTCTTTTAAAAAAAACTGCCTTGCCCAGTATTAGGAGTCTTAATTGCCAGAAGTACAATTATTTTTTATGACTTTCACACCATTAAATATAATTAAACTTGTACGTTCTTCAACCCAGGAATACAAATGATATCATTTGTGAGCAAAATTAATGAAATTTCTCCAGTTCAAGTTTGTCATCATACTTCTTCTTCTTCTTTTTTTAAGGGATACTCACTTATTTATTTAATTATTTTTTTGAGACAGAGTCTTGCTCTGTTACCCAGGCTGGTGTGCAATGGCCTGATCTCGGCTTACTGCAACCTCCCAGGTTCAAGTGATTCTTCTGCCTCAGCCTCCCAAGTAGCTGGGACTATAGGGGCACACCACCACACCTGACTAATTTTTGTATTTTTAGGAGAGATGGGGGTTTCACCGTTTGGGCCAGGCTGGGCTCGAACTCCTGACCTCAGGTGATCCGCCTGCCTCGGCCTCCCAAAGTGCTGGGATTACAGGCGTGAGCCACTGCGCCTGGCCCATCATACTTCTTTCATACAAAATCACTCTGCATGTTTTCACCAATGAAATATTTAGAGTCTTGCAGGGAAAAAGAGATATAACTACATAAACTTTGATACGTTAAACAACCTTTAAAAGTTAGAATAAACCGGGCACAGTAGCTCACGCCTGTAATCCCACTACATCCAGCCTGGGCCAAAAAAAAAAAAAAAAAAAAGTTAGAATAAAAATAAGAGTTCATACTGGTATAATCAAGTTCGCCAAAGGTGGATATTACATCTTTAGGGGAAAAAGACCAAATGTGAAATGAATGTATAAATTCTAAACATTTTTACAAACTCAAAATATTATTGAGAGTACTTTTGGGAATTCTAACTCAGAATCGCTTTGTCTTTCGTAGGGTAGGTAGAATGGATGAAGAGTATCTTGTAGAACCTGAGCAGCCTATCTCAGTTTCTTTTAACTGCTTAATCTGTAGAATCTTAAAACAACTCACTTTGCTCACTGGGCCAATGAACAATCTCAGTTTTGTTTTTATTCCTCCTGTTGTCCATTTCTTGCTGTTGTCAAATAGGGATAAAATACTCACCAGACAGGCTCGTAAGATTAAAACAATTCTCTTCTTTCCAATATATTTTCGGTATTTATCAGGGGAAAAGTCTTTGAAGTTCTCTCTCTTTTCCTATGAGTATTGAGTGGAACATCACTGGTGGCAGAATATTAAAGTTCTAAGAGATACTTACTTGGGCTATCTCAATTTTAATTAGCAAATTTAGTCCCAAATATGTAAAGGCTAGTCAACTTAGCATTATGTAATCGTGGATATGTGCACCTGTGAGAAAATGTGATTAGCTGCTGGTTGTTGAGGTGGGGCTGGCAGAGGTGGCTGTGGAGGTCCAGGCACTTGGGGTCTAACTGGTTGTTGAGTCATAGGAGGATTATACACAACTGGACTCCCATCTGGGTTTATGAAGGGCTGACCTGAAAAATTTAAAAAGAAGGAAAAAAAAACAACTTAGAATACAGATGGAAAATAGGTCCTTTTACTAACAATTTACAAAGCATATCCAAAATCCCTTAAACACAATTGAAAAAAAAAAACCTAATATTTTGAAAACAGATTTCCTTAGTTTGGGAAATGCTTGATCTGACATGAGGCTATCAATAGTCTTTATTTCCCTCACTTAAATATTCAAATGTTTTACTGCATTTCTTATTAAGGGGTACTGGCCCAGACCGCTAGTGAGCTTAATTAAATTAATTTATTATTATTTTCTTAGACGGAGTCTCCCTCTGTTGCCCAGACTGGAGTACAGTGGCACAATCTCACCTCAGGGCAACCTCTGCCTCTTGGGTTCAAATGATTCTCCTGCCTCAGCCTCCCAAGTAGCTGGGATTACAGGCATGTGACATCACACATGGCTAATTTTTGTATTTTTAGTAGAGATGGGGTTTCACCATGCTGGCCAGGCTGGTCTTAAACTCCTGATCTCAGGTGATCCATCTGCCTTGGCCTCCCAAAGTAATCCCAGTCTTATTTCATAATATGTGGTATTTTCTGAAAAACTCTGAATTATGCAACACATTTAGCCTAAGAAATTCAGTCACAGGATTGGGGTCCTATAAGGCTATATTTCAGTTCAAAGAGAAAACGCTTGACTTCAGGATATTGGAAAGTTATTCATTAGTTTTTATTAGGAGGTAGGAAATACCTAATTTTGAGGCCACCTTACATATATTTCACAAATAAGATTAGAACTGGATGAAAAACTAAAATGATTAATAGCTTCATGCTTCAAATTGTAATCTTGATGGTACTGTCCTTATTTTACAACTTTTTTTTTTTTTTTTGAGACAGTCTCACTCTGTTGCCCAGCCCAGGCTGGAGTGTGGTGGCATGATCTCAGTTCACTGCAACCTCAGCCTCCCCTGGGTTCAAGCAATTCTCCTGCCTCAGCCTCCAGACTGGCTGGGATTATAGGCACCTGCCACCACGCCGGGCTAATTTTTATATTTTTAGGAGAGATGGGGTTTCACCATGTTGGCCAGGCTGGTCTCGAACTGCTGACCTCACGTGATCCACCCTCCTTGGTCTCCTAAAATGCTGGGATTACAGGTGTGAGCCACTGCACCCAGTTTCTCTACACATATATTCTAAACAACTTTTCCTTATTACAAAAAGTAACATTTCTAAAAATAACAAAGAGACAAAAAAGAAAATAAATTCCCCATAATCTGTGTGTGTGTGTGTGTGTGTGTGTGTGTGTGTGTGTGTATGTGTGTGTGATTTCACTTTTAGGTTCAGGGGCATATGTGCAGGTTTGTTATACGGGTAAACTTGTGTTGTAGTGGCTTATTATATGAATTATTTTGTCACCCATTAGTTATTTTTCCTGATCCTCTCCTTCTTCCCACCCTCCACCCTCTGATAAGCCCCAGTGTGTACTGTTTCACTCATGTGTTCACATGTTCTCCGCATTTAGCTCCCACTATTAAGTGAGAACGTGTGATATTTGGTTTTCTGTTCCTGCATTAGTTTGCTAAGGATAATGGCCTCCACCTCCATCTGTGTTCCTGAGAAGGGCATGATCTTGTTCTTTTTTATGGCTTCATAGTATTTAATAGAGTATATGCACCACATTTTCTTTATCCAGTCTATCCCTGATGGGCATTTAGTTGATTCCGTGTCTTTGCTGTTGTGGAATTCCCCATAATAATATCATTAGCATTTCAGATACTGTCTTCCAGACATTTTTTCAATAAATAGATTGAAAGATTAGTATTTTTCTTTACTAAAATTGGATTGTTAAAAAAAGAAACAAGAAAGGAGTGCATAAAAATTAACGGTTCAATGACTATGAGTGAGAAAAATACAGAGAAACACAGAAAAATTTGACTGAAAAACAGTTTCTTAAATTGTCTTAACATCTATTCTTCCATAGGAAATCACTCTCCATTTTTTTTTTTTTTTGAGGAAACTTATGATATAAAATAATAATATTTGGGAGAGAAGACTATACTAGTCTACAGCTATCAAGCAGAAAAAGTCCTCCAAAGTAAAATTATTTTAATCAATTAGTATACTGATAATTTGTGTGATAGTTATAGATAACTAAAAACAAGTTGTCCTGGGTATTTGTTGACTACTAAATAATTTGGGAGGCCGGGCGCAGTGGCTCACGCCTGTAATCTCAGCACTCGGGGAGGCCGAGGTGGGCGGATCACGAGGTCAGGAGATCAAGACCATCCTGGCTAATATGGTGAAACCCTGTCTCTATTAAAAAATACAAAAAATTAGCCAGGTGTGGTGGTGGGCGCTTGTAGTCCCAGCTACTCGGGAGGCTGAGGCAGGAGAATGGCGTGAACCCGGGAGGCGGAGCTTGCAGTGAGTCGAGATGACACCACTGCACTCCAGCCTGGGCGACAGAGCAAGACTCCTTCTCAAAAAAAAAAATAAAAATAAAAAAATAAAAAAAAAATAATAATTTGGTTTAAAAAAATGGGTGGAGCAGATTTGGGTGAAGGCGGTCAAATCCAAATTAAGGGTCACTTGAAGAAAGTTAATGTACTGTAACACTGTTCTCAAAAACCAAAGAGATCACTTTTGGATTCATTTAAGTTAATAGTACAATTCAGTTTCAGACCAATTAGTTTCTCACTCTATCCCTTCCTAAGCAAATGAATCTTTCATGTTACCAAAACCATATTAATATATTTTGAATGAAAAATAATAGGAAAAGGTAAAATATTAAATCATCTTACATCTTGCTGGACAAAAACAGGAAGGTTAGTAATATAATAACCTGAAGAATAAGAAGGTAATTACTAAGCAAAAACTGAATTTCTGAAAAATCAGTTATTTATGCTAATTTAATTCTTATAAGAGAACAAATGTTTGCCTACTTTATCTTAAAAAGATATGTGAATAAACCTGAAAGTAATGAGTCCCAAGCCATGATTTTTCTACTATAAACGAAAGGAAAGGTTCAGGAACACTTAGAGACCTTATACTCCCACCTGTATCTGCCTGTAAACTACTGCCATTATGATGATACCACATCAGCTAAATATATGAGATTTAAAGTTATCAAAAGATCAAGGAGAGTTTTCATTACCTTGCCAAATGACTGGGCTATGCTATCTTGAAGAGACCAAGACTTCTTGTGACCTTTTTAATGATCATATTTTTTCTATACAAATCATTTTTACCTATTTACATAGTGAACTGTACTATAACTGCAGTTTATTCACCTCTCTGAGGTCCAGTTTCTTTATCTATAAATGATTTCACTTACCTAACAAGGTTATAACATATTTAAAGCACCTAACAGAGCATTTGGTAAAAGCAAATGCTAAAAAATGTAAATTACTATTAGCTAATTGCAAAGAATATGTACTGTCAATATTAATACATGAATCCTCCCAATTTTTTTTTTAATACCAATAAGATGTTCTTTAGCTTTTCCTCAGTAGGAAATCACCACATTCTGAAGGTAATTATTTTTTCCCCCTCCATTATATAATGAAAAAAAAAAAACTGCTTATTCAGTCCTTCTTCATAAAATGCACTTGATTTTCCCAAGTATAAAATTGTTGTATCATCCCAAAAAGTCAATATTGGTTAAAAAAAAATTGTTGTATCAAACAAAGCTCTTTTGTAGGTAGTTGTCTTATTCCTAGGAAATAAATTTTTTAAAATTATAGTTGGGCTATTATTTGGCCTAGACGATGTCACAGACGTCACAAGGGGAAAAAATGCTTCCCGATATAAATGTCTTTTAAACTTTCCTAGCATAAGTGTTTTTGTTATAAAGTTCTTGGAAAATGCTAATCATGAATAATAAAAAGCTGACTACATATATTCAGAAAATACATTTAATAAGTATCCTTAAATTTTCAGATAATTCCTGAAACACCTTTTTCTGGATACCAACCTGTTTGTGGGTTGATCAGAATACTGCCAGGTGGTATGCCTGCCGCTTCCAAGGGAAGCAAAAAGAAGCTAGTGCTAGGAGATGCGACTTGCCCATTTAGGCCACCATCAAAGGAAAGAGAACTATGAGTGCTGACAGTTGGATAGACGACAGGTGCGCCATGAGAAGACTGGCTGAGAGCTGTACCTGGAAGAGGCTGCTGGATGTGAGAAAGAGAGCCTGTAGATGACCCTACACTACCAGAAGACTCAGAACCTAGAAAAGGAGTAATGAAAAATAGGGATTTTTTAAACCTCATATAAAAACACAGGTTTTCAAAACGTAACAATAAAATTTACATTGCATAACATGCAGTTACTACATAAAAGCATTGGCTCTTTTTAATTTACTGTCCACGTTTGCTTACCCTCCCCATAACAAACAAGTTTAATACAGCAAACTGATTACGTAAGTTGTCAGAGAAATCACTGCCAAAGCATGCAACTTAAGCACATTTATAACAACACCAGCCACAGACAGCCACAAAAAGCAAATTACCCACATTCCCAAAAGGACAAAGTTATGTACATTTTACCTTTTAGATTAACACCTAGGAATATATAGATAATTTTCCCCCAGGAAAAAGAATTTAGAACAGCAAAATGCCCAAAACTTTTAATACCAGAAACCCCTTATCTATAAGAACACAGAAAGATTTAGTGTAAGAAATAAATGATAAATTCTGTATTAAGACAATTGTCAAGTTTAATTGCAGAATCTAATTTCTCATTTTACTAGCATAGCATTTTTCCAAAATGTAAAATCAACTTTGAGTATTTTATCTAATCAAGGGACAGAGATATCAGGAAAAATATTCCAAGTACTTATACGGGTGTTAACTTAAAATTTATTTCTTACTGAACTAATTTGATAACTGATTTTTAAATGCTTTCATCCCTGAATTTATTCCATTTTCTATTACACAGGAACTGAAAATGTCACTGATTTTTAGCATAATGGCTAAAAAAGGTGGCCAACAAGACAAAGAAAGACAATGATTTGCATCTTATGTATACAGTTAATTAGGTTTTGAATAAGAGAATTGACTCTGGGATGGAATTAATCTTTAATGAATGAAACAACTATGATACACTATATGGACTGCCTTCTGAAGGACAGATTCCATTTTAAGTTGTGCCAAAATAACTCTTCATAAAAACTTTATCAATTTAACCTAAGAATTAAAAACAAAAAACTTTTTTTTGCCTATTAAAAGGGCCAATTAATATTTCTTTTCATCTCTGAAGAGAATACAGAATACATATAGTACATATTCTTAAAATGTTTTAATTTGGCAGAGTGTCTACATAATTTTCTCATGATACATAAATAGCTTCTTTTGTTATGATGACCTAGTGGCCATTTTCCAAATAATGCATATTTGGTACACAAGCAGATTTCTTATACTGATAAAATTTACCTATCTTTCACAAAATCCTAACATAGATACTAAGATATTTTCAATACGACCACATTATACATTAAAAAGATGGCAACTGCAATTCATAAGCCTTAATAATTTAAAGCATTGATTACAGCCCTTCAGTTCAAATATGTCTTTCAATTCTTAAGCGTACAATACCTTATGTTTAGGCTCACCCAAATAGATTAGGAAGAAATAGCCATTCCTCCTTTTATCCTTTTTTTTTTTTTTTTTGAGATGGAGTCTCGCTCTGTTGCCCAGGCTGGAGTGCAGTGGTATGATCTCAACTCACTGCAGCCTCTGCCTCCCGGGTTCAAGTGATTCTCCTGCCTCAGCCTCCCAAGCAGCTGGGACCACAGGCATGCGCCACCACACCCAGCTGATTTTTAAATATTTTTAGTAGAGATGGGGTTTTGCCATGTTGGCCAGGGTGGTCTTGAACTCCTGACCTCAGGTGATCTGCCTGCCTTGGCATCCCACAGTGTTGGGATTACACGTGTGAGCCACTGCGCCCGGCCAGGGAAACACTCATTTCTGACTTTCATGCTTATTTTGGGATAAAAATAAAGATCTTCAAGGATCCTAAAAACACATGAGCTTCTTTAGTATTGAAGCCAGTTAGTGGAAATGAAAAGAAGAAATGTTATGAGACAATGAACTCCAAGGAAGGAGGTAGTAGAATGAGGAGATTATTGAAATTTTCAGTCATTTTTAACAGTTATTTATTTTTGGTTTTTAAATTCCTCAAAATATCCTCAGCAATTTAATTTTTTTTTAATGGAAAATGAAGGACTTTATCATAAAAAATGCAATCAATAATTGATAGTATTAGCTGAAAATGCAATCAGTGTTAAATAATCCTAGGTGAGAAACCATGCCTTCTACCAACTATGAATAAGTAATAAAGAATTTCCAATCACCTATGGGCATTCGAACAAGAGATAACGTTTCAGTGAACTTACCTGATTAAGTTTATGTCACAATAGAGAAGAATTTTTATGGTAATTTATGGTTATAAATCTGTCTCAAGGACAGAGAGTGAATCCTCATGTCAAGAAACATATTACCCCTTAAGTATTTTGGAGGTAGTCAAGGTACTGTTGATAGTAATTTTATATTTTAGGAGAATTAGAAGCCATCTGATAAATAAGGACCTAAGATAACATTAGGAAAACTAATGACTGCACAGTTCTGTGTAGATATTTATACCTGTTTTTGAAAGCCTGCCTATGCTTTTGCTGCTTCCAGAACTATCACCTCTTGTCAGGACTGAGATTCCACTGAAGCTGCTCGCTTTGGTTACAGCAGGTTTCAGGTTTCGAAGAGAGCTGTCTGAATCTGTGCTGCTCCAGGGTCGTGGTTCCGAGTACTTCAACTCATTCTCAGTGCTGCTTTGATGGCTATTTGTGGATCTCCCTGAAGCATCTTTATTAACTCTGTAATTTAGAAATAAAACTTTGAAAAGCTAATGCGGGGGAACAAAAAGTAAAGAAAAAAATGCTTTACTTTTTAAATACTGTATTGAAAACATGCTTCCAATACCTAAATATCTGGCGCCTCTGCTGGGTACTACTGGCATCTTCATCTTGCAGTCTGTTGGCATTTTAATAGGACATTTTAATTTTTATTAGCATCAGTCAGACAGTTACCAAAACAGATGTTAAAAATTCCCTCACCTTTTGTCAATAATGTAATTCTCTTGGGAACACAGGGACTAGAAAGAAAGAATAGAAACAAAAAGTTGAGCTTTTGTCAAATATAATATAATGCCATCTGTAAACCAATGACTACAACAAAAATCATGTTTAATAATATAAGTAAAAAATGGTGAGAAGGGTACACAAATAAATAATAATGGAATTTTTTTTCTGGTTTGGAGATTCTATGCTTACTTTTAACAAATATATATGTATCTTGAAGCCATTCATTTTGTGGCTCAAATTAATTTGAAATTCAAATATTATCTTCCAAATAAGTGAACCCATTTTCATTATATATTTAAGGTATATATAGAATATATATTCCACTTCATTCACTTAACAAATATTTGATCACCTGTGCTTTTATCTGTGGCTAGAGCAGTGAACAAGCAGCTATGCCTTAATGGTGCTTAAAGTCCTTCAGCACTGTTAACCTGGGTCAGGAATGACCATTTTTGTTTGTATGATTACAACAGTTTTCTAACCAGTTTTCCAGTTACCATTTTTTGCCCATTTTATGTAACAGAAGCAATCTCTCTAAAATGTCAATCTGATCATAATTCTTCCCACCTGAATGGCTCCCTGATGTTTTAGCACAAGTGTCAGCAAACTACAGCCAGATACCCGTTTCTGCAAATAAAGTTTTACTGGAACAGGAACACGGCCATGACCATTCATTTATGTATTGTCTGTGGCTGCTTTCACATTTGAGTAGGAAAAAAAAAGTCAGATTTGAGTAGCTGCAATGAAGACTATGTGGCTCACAATCCCTAAAACAGCTATTATCTGACCTTTACAGAAAAAGTCTGCTGACCAAAAAAGAAAAAAGCCAAAAGTAAATAAATAATAAATAAATAAAACCCAAAACAAAAAACCACCACCAAAACCGCCAAAAGTCCAAACATCTTAAACCTTCAGGGCCGTGTCATCTCATTTCTGATTATTTTTCCAGTCTAAAGTTTCCTCACTCCTTACATCACTCAGGCTAGAATCTGGCTACTCGGAATCTTTTTTTTGAGACAGGGTCACTCTGTCACTCAGGCTGGAGTGTAGTAGTCTTATCTTGGGTCACTGCAACCTCTACTTCCTGGGTTCAGGAGATCCTCCTGTCTCAGCCTCCTGAGTAGCTGGGACTACAGATGTGCACCACCAGGCCTGGCTAATTTTTTGTAGAGATGGGGTTTTGCCATGTTGCTCAGGCTGTTATTGAACTCCTGAGCTCAAGTGAGCCACCCACCTCAGCGCTCCCATAGTGGTGGGATTACAGGTGTGAGCCACTGTGCCTGGCCTACTTTTAAATCTTTTCATTCCTAATGTGTGTCAAGTTCTCCCTCACCTCTGGGTTTCTGTACATACTGACCCTCTACTTGGAACTCTTCACTTCTGTAAGTTTACTTCTTGGAAGCGAACTGTCCCATCCCTTCCCCAGTTCTGGTTTGTGGTGCTCATCTGCTGTGTCACCTGTTATACCTTCATGTCTCTACATAAACCACACACCCTGTTGTCATTACTTGGCTATTCATCAAGGGCAGATACCTCATCTATCTTAAAAACTAGAGAGAAGGACATTTAGTATAGGCTTGGAGTTCAGCAGACTTGGGTTGAAATCCCAACTCTGCCATTTTCTAGCTGTGTGATCTCTAATTTAGCCTCCTGGAATCTCAGGTTCCTTATCTGTAAAATAAAAACAAAGATAGTACCTACCATATAGGGTTGTTTTGGGGATAAACTATTATAACTGTCCAGTGCCTAGGATTGCACTTACTACAGGTGCTCAATAAAATTTGTTGAATGAGTAAGTTCTTCACTTACAATCCGGATTTTAATATTATTTAATCTTTTTTTTTTTTTAAACAGAGGAAATTTCTGTCTTTAGCAGATTAACACATATTACGGGACAGATGCTTAACAGATGTCGACAAAAAACAAACTGATTCTCTTCTGGCATAAATGCATAAAATAGCCATTTAGAAAGCCTATATTACATAATCACTTATAAAGCAGAAAACAAATATTAACCTACAACATCAATTAGCTTTATTTCAAAAGAAGAAATAAATTATCGTCAAAGAAAGTCAACAAGTAGCATCTACAGTATATGATTTTGTAGACAGTGGACCAATGTTCTATTAATAAAAATCTCAAGTCTGTCAGAGGTCTGGGGAAAAAAAAAAAAATCACACAAACTATATACACTGGCCAACATTCTTTTAATGACTCCTATAGTCCACCTGCTTCCAACTTTGTAAAATTTTACATAACTACTGCAATGTAGTATTTTATAAACTATTAAATTAATAACACAAGCAAAAGTGATTTCAATATTTCTAAAAGATGACCTTATATGCAACAAATGTGATTACAAATAAATGTGATCAATAGATAAAAGGGAGACTGAGACCCTACAATGCAATTAAAATATATTCTAACATGAAGACCTAAATATGTTAGTACATACATCTTGGGAAAATATTCGATCTCTAGCTCTCTGGTACTCTTCTTCTCTTTCTTCTATAGATTTGCTTCTTCTGTCATCTTTCAAACGTATTCTCATCTACAGAAAAGAGGATAATTTTTTGGCAAATGAACTACTGGTATAATATATCTTGCACCTATAAAAATGCTGTAATTGTTCAGATTACCTGGTTATCATCTTTGTCAAAGCTAGAGTTATCTCTCTTGAGGATATAACGTTTCTGAAAGTCTTCACCTTTATCATCCTTAATATGTTCATTAAATTTCTGATCAGGTCTTAAAAAACAAAAACAAAAACAAAGGAACAGGAAAAGATAATGCACAATATTAGCAAAGAAGTTAAACATAACATTTTATGAAAAGCAATAAAATAAAAGTTACCACTTTTTAGTGCCATACTGGAGAACGTATTCATGGACAGTTATAATAATTTATCCCCAAAAAAACCCTATATGGTAGATACTATCTTTGTTTTTATTTTACAGATAAGGAACCTGAGATTCCAGGAGGCTAAAATAGAGATCACACAGCTAGAAAATGGCAGAGTTGGGATTTCAACCCAGGTCTGCTGAACTCCAAGCCTATACTAAATGTCCTTCTCTCTAGTTTATAAGATAGATGATGTATTTAGTCCTCACAATAATCTCATGAGAAAATACTAACTATTCCATGTTATGGTTGAGCGGCCATATCAAATACAATGTGGGCTCTGGAGTCAGACTGCTTGGATTCAAAGGTCGAGCTTTAGCACTTTAGCTGCTTGATGACTTGCAAAAGTTACTTAACTTTTCTCTTTCCCAGTTTCTTTATTTGTAAAATTGGAATTATATAGTGTACCTACTTCTTAGGGCTATTCTGAAGATGAAATGAATATGTCAATAACACACAAAACAGTAAACACTCAGAAGTTAGTTATTTATATAAATCTTATTGAGCAAACAGAGGTTCAAATGGCTTAAGCAAATGTGCAAGGTCAAAGGTAGGCATATGATTAAGCCATAGTTGGAGGCCAGGTCAGTTAGACCCAAAGCCTGTACTGCCTCATCTAAACCTATGAAAACATGCTGGGACAAGGAAAGTACAGTACTGTATCTTATGCTACTCCTGTGGTACCTAGTTTGGTGTTATACAACTGAAAGTAATAAAATATTTTGTCATTCAATTAGCTACAAACTTACAGACGACTTCAAACTGCATCCATGAATTTTAAATTACAGTAGGGCACAGATTTGTTTAACATTAACTGAACAGGTTAGAAAACAGAAGCTCTTTTATAGAGGTTAAAGTTGTGACCTAAAGTAATGCTTATGAAATCTTAGCAATATATTTTATAGTGAACTCGTCTTTCTTCTACAGAAATGTTGCAAGTTCCACTGGGTTCTAGAGGACAAACACAAGGTTGTGGCCCTTGGAAAATCACAGTTACATAAAATTTCACCTCCCAAAATACATTCTCAGCTTCCACAAATTAATTCAATCAATACTCTTGTGACTAAGCATCATTCTAGTATAAAACTGGAATTATTCTTTTGAAATATGAAATATAACAATACATTAAATGGCTTTAGAGAAAATCTCATTGAACTCCTAGGTAGTTTTTATATCTATTATATAGTCAAATGATATATGTGAATAACCTAAGTAAATTTCTAATCCAAATAAACCTGAGTAATGACATTTTCAGCAAACTTCCTTATATCTAGAACCTAAGTAACGCTTCTTTTTTAAAAATTTTTTTAGAGACAGAGTCACACTCTGTCATCCAGGCTGGAGTGCCATGGTGCGATCTCAGCTCACTGCAACTTCTGCCGCCTGGGTTCAAGCGATTCTCCTGTCTCAGCCTTCTGAGTAGGTGAGATTACAGGTGGGTGCCACCATGCCCAGCTAATTATTTTTTTGTATTTTTAGTAGAGATGGGGTTTCATTGTGTTGGCCAGGCTGGTTGTGCACTCCTGACCTCAAGTGATCTACCTGCCTCAGTCTCCCAAAGTGCTGGGATTACAGGTGCCTGGCCTTAGAACCGAAGTAATACTTCTGAACATTTATTTTAACCTATGAATTTCTAATAAAGTACATAAAAGCCTCCTGTCAAATTATGCAAAAGGAGAATTATCTAAGCAAGTTAATGAAATCTCTATTGTAAAATACTTAGATGGGTGAAATAGAGAACAGATTTGTACATAAATATATATATAAGAAGAAGAAAAAATAAGACTAAAAACAGCTTTGTGACCAAAATAATAAGAAGACTATTTTCTTCAAGGATTTGAAATATTTTTATTTAGTTCTGACAATGGCAGTATGTTATTTTTGTCATGATTGCCCCATTTACTTATGTTATCTATTTTTGTAACTGTTCAAAGTCACATTTTCTTATTTATGGAGTTTATAATTGAATGAGGGACTGCTATTCCAAAGTGAACTATAAGGTTTAACCAAGGGCCTGGCAACTTTTCTAAGAGCAGCTGGATTCCCACACCAATAGCACTGGCAGGCATTTCAGCTAACCTTAAGACTGTCTTACCTCATTCTTTTATAGATGCCTGAATTTACTGCCCTGTAATCGCCAACTTCCCGCTCCATTGAGACACCCCAGTGGACACTGGGTTGTTGACATCCACACCACCACTGATTCAAGGCTGGAGCGGGTAATCTCCCTATGAGGAAAAGGTAAGTTTGTTTTTATTCAGTGTGGAGCAGATCTCTAAGGTTTTCTGATTTACTACCTTCTTCATATCCCAGAAGATATTAAAAAGAAAAAATACAGTGTAACTTCAATGATCTGAAATGTCAGGTTATAATTATATTCTTGACCCATACTTCTTTTTAAGTGTATTATAAGCATCTCTGCTGAGCCTAGCTTTTGATTATCTTGATAAAGAGAACTCTAAAGTTTTTTGACATCATTCATAGAATTCAAATAACTGAGGTTACACTGTATTGAAAACCTTAGAGAGTCACCAGTCAAAATGCCTGCAAATGTATATGTGCTTGGGTATCCAGCAGCTCTGAGTAATGTTGAGAGGTACTGGTTAAATGAATTAACGGTTCTAATTACTTCTAGCTCAGCTCATAGCATAATGGTTACTATCCTACTTTAGTCATGATATAACTGACTGGAAAAAGACTAATTGAAAAGAATATTAAAGATTAAGGGATATGAAAATTTTAATGAAAATTAAATCAGACTCACATTTTGGTAACATTTAATCCCTATAGAAAGAAAAGATCCGTTTCTAAACACATCTATTTTCACTAATTTACTTTTAATTATAGCAAAAATCATTTAAAAATACTAAAGTATCTACTTAGTTGACAAAAAGACTATTTAAAATGGGAGAAAACCAATAGCTCCAGCAAGTGATATGGTAGCTATAAGGACAAAAGACCATAGATCAGAAAAGGTATAGATGAAGTAAATATAACCATGCAAATTAAATCATTCACAGCTAAGAACCTGGGAGAAATTTGGTTTCAGGAAAGAAAAATAATCGACCAAAAAGGACTATTTATGCCATCTGAAGTTGACTGCTATCCATTACCACAGACTTGTTGCTGCCTCATATCAAACTGAAATTCCTTTTGATAGGCCAATCAAAATAGAAATTTTAGCTGAACTCAGCTAGTTGTTTTAGGATTAGCCTTATAAATAGGCAGAAGATGTAACGGATGTGCTGTGTATGTTTTATAACTTGGGTGTCTCTGCATTGGGTCTTTTGTTCCCAAGTAACAGCAATGATGATCTACTTCCTTAATAGTATAAAGCAATCAATTCTTAAAACAAAAAGCTCCTCCTAACTCTTTAAAAATTTTCCTTGGTGAGTCATACATAGCCTAGGAAGAAGACAGCACTATGGATGATATTGCATTAACCAATAGTCCCACTTTCTTAAGAATTGTGAGAGAAAAGGAGTAAATCTGGAGGCTTTTTGGAAAGAATGGTAAACTGACAGAAGATTAACTAAATATGAAGGTGTCACAGACAAAGTCTATTCTCTCTCTCTTTTTTTTTTTTTTATTAATTTGACTAAGGCTGGCTATAGCTATCTAAATTAATTTTAAAAATCCCTAAGAGTTGTTGTCAAACATCACTGATATTATGTCCTCTGGGTTTTTATTTTTTTAACATATGCCCCAGTCCTCATTCATATGCTATACTTGAGTTCAGGCTGTTGCGTTTTGTTCCCAGTAAACTAAATGTGTTTTCAGTCCTATCACATAAGGTTATCAACAAACTTAATTAGACTGCTCAAACATGTGGAAAACCTCAGATGAAAGGTACTATAGAAAGATAAAAGTATTATTATTTAGATATATAATATGCAGTTACATCTCTTGACACTTACATTCTTGTATTGCTAGTTTTGTTTACTATGACAGACTTCCCACTCTGATCAACATTGTGGTCTAATCCAAAGTAAGCGGCTACTCTGTGTAATAGCATCCTATGGTAAGATGTCATTGGGGGGAATTTTTTACGTGGAGACCTAGAAGCACAAGAAAAACCAATTTAGTAAGTCAAGGAGAATGGTGATGACAATTTCTTTTCTTGTTAAATGTCAGGACTTACTCATTATTACCAATGAAATCTAAAATTTCTTGTTCCAATTTCAGCAGCATCATTCTGTCCCTGAAACAAAGTATGAAGACTCTTATATGTAAAACTTAGTAATGAAGTAATCACAAATGTCAACAGACTATGATTTATACAGTTAAATTTCACCCCCTAAAATCTATACATTCAGGACTACCCCAATCTTGATGCTAGAATATTTATTAATGTTTTAAAACAATAAAAGATGATTTTTTTAGTTTAACTTTTTATTACGGAAGTTTTCACACATACGCTAATGTACAGAATAGTGTAATGAATTTTGATGTACCCATCACCCAACTTTAACAATAATCAACATGTGGCTATTCTTAAATGCATTTTTTTTTTTTTTGCTTACACATAACGAAGGAACTTAAATGTATTTTGATCTGCTAAGTATTACTATATTAGAGTTTGCTCTGTGAATGTGTGGATAGAAAAAGCACTTTAGCTTTTATTTCCTCATTCAATGAAGTAGAGAGGAAGCAGAAAAACAGATATCTTTAGTTAGGCTCATGACTTTGTTATCATGCTGAACTCCATAGAAACAGTATTCTAAAGAACATGCAACGACAGTAATGACAGGAATACTCCTATGGGACTCTAATACTAGTATGTAGATGGGACTATGGCAGAGAAGTATTAATTATATCGCTAACTCAGAAGAAGAGGATATTTCAACCCATTCTATAAACTGCCATTATATATTTTTAAATTTTCCCATAAAAATCTAAGTGAATCAAAAACCTCCAACATATAAAATAAATAAGGACTCTAGGGAGTACCTGTATATGCTCCCTTAGATCACTAAGGTCTTATTTAGTTCACTTAGCCGCAAGAAATTAATGGTATCGCTCCCCAAAGGACTTCCCTGCTCACACACCCATAACATGGCTCCAGAATTTTCCTGTGCTAATTGGAAATTTCATGCACGTGTGAAAAAAAAAACATGTCTAAGTTACAGAACCTTAAAGCTAAAAGCAGCTTTACAAATCATTCAGTTTTATCTTCCAAAGTTTATAGATCAAGAAAACGAGGCCAAGAGGTTAATGATTCTCTAAAATAGAAACTATGCAGATTATTCTCAATTTCAATAGAAGAACTGGTAGCCCCCGCCTTTGGTCACCTGAAAGTCTACACATCAGACCTGCATTTGATTCTCCTCCTATACTGCAAAAGTTTCATAAAACTAAGTAATAACATTTCCCCCATCAGTCATTAGATATTTAACTATACATTTTTATATTAGTTTAAAAAAAATCAAGAGAAAAACATGTCTACCTGGTGATTTCAAATCCAAAGCTGAAGACAGAATTACATTTTAACAAAAATTATATCAATATTCAGTTGTCTCCAAACCTGCTTCTCCTTTAGTATATCCCATCTCAGTAAGTGGCACCACCTTCTGCTCAGTATATGATACTAGAAGCATGAGAATTCTAGTTTTTATTTATTTGAGACAGAGTTTCGCTCTCGTTGCCCAGGCTGGAGTGCAAGGGCACAATCTCGGCTCACTTCAACCTCCGTCTCTCATGTTCAAGCGATTCTACTGCCTCAGCCTCCTGAGTAGCTGGGATGACAGGCATGTGCCACCAGGCCAGACTAATTTTCTGTTTTTAGTAAAGTTGGGGTTTCTCCATATTGGCCAGGCTGGTCTCGAAGGTTGTTGTTGTTTTTTTAATCATCCTTTTTCAAACGCTTCTGTATAGTTAATTACTACTGCAAATTTTATCTACTTTTGATCTATTTTTCTACTGCCACAACCCTGGATCCAGGCAATCAGGATTTCCGGCTTGACTACTATAGCAGGAGTATATTGTCTCCCTGTATCTTCCCTGATCTTCCCTAATCTATTCTACATGAAACATGTATAACAATCTTTTAAGAACACATATGTGATCACACATCACTCACTTTGTTAAATCTGTCATGGGTTTCTTACTGCTCTTAGAACTAAACATATGTACAAGGCAGGCATGAGCTGGTCTTCATCCAGCTCCAGCCTAATCTCCTGACCTGAACTCACAAAACTGTTATCATCCTGGTTTATTTTTGTATTTGCCAAGCTCCTATCTTTCTCAGGTACCTTGAACATGCTGTTCCCCTTTGCTGAAACACATTCTTATATTCTTTCTTAGAATTGTTGCTTTTACATATTTTTCTTTAATAGCATTTATCACAATTATTGTCATATAGTTATTTGAACTATTTGTATATAGAAGGGTTCAACAAATATATTTTGCATGGAATAAAGTAATAAAATTACTTCATCCAGAAGGTCTTTTAGTATTCTTTTTGTGTTTCTTAAATTTGGGGGGAGAGTGAAGAATTTTTACTTCTTAAAGTTTTCCCAAGAAAGGATTTATTTACTAAACTGTAAGACCCTCTTTCATCCAAGTTTTTTTTTTTTTTAAGACAGTCTTGCTCTGTCCCCCAGGCTGCAGTGTTGTGGCACAATCTCGGCTCCCTGCAACCTCTGCCTCCTGGGTTCAAGTGATTCTCCTGCTTCAGCCTCCCGGCAGCTGAGTACAGGTGCCCGCCACCACACCTGGCTAGCTTTTGTATTTTTAGTAGTCACAGGGTTTCACCATGTTGCCCAGGCTGGTCTTGAACTCCCAACCTCAGGTGATCCCCCCGCCTCGGCCTCCTAAAGTGCTGGGATTACAGGCGTGAGCCACTGCACCCAGCCTCATCCAAGCTTTTGGGGTTAATTTATCGTGAGACAGTATTTTCAGTAACTTTTATAATTTACATAGTGCCTTATTGTAAAAAAATGAAGACAAGAATCAAAAGCAGGCAATTAGCTGAGCGCAGTGGCTCAATCCCAGCACTTTGGGAGGTTGAGGCGGGCAGGTTACCTGAGATAGGGAGTTCAAGAGCAGTCTGACCAACATGAAGAAACTCCATCTCTACTAAAAACATACATAATTAGCGGGGCATGGTGGCACATGCCTGTAGTAATCCCAGCTACAGGCTGAGGTAGGAGGCTGAGGTAGGAGAATTGCTTGAACCCGGGAGGCAGAGGTTGCAGTGAGCTGAGATTGCGCCATTGCACTCCAGCCTGGGCAACTATCTCAAAAAAAAAAAAAAAAAAAAAAGCAGGCAACTTATTTGGAGTTCATAAAACAGTACATTTAAATTGATTTTCTGTGTTTGAGCTAAAGAGTAGGTATAAGAATATTTCAATCGTTCTTCAGTAAATGTACTGCCACTGAAATTTCTACTATCTGTGTGAAATAACAAAATCTAACAATTTTACTGGCCATTGATACAAATTTAGGCTGTCTCTCCCCTTAATATGTAGATCTAAAGATTGCAGAGGATTTTTAGATTATCTGGGTTTTTTATTTTTAAAAAGATACCCTGCTTTTAGTAGCACTTGTTAAAAAAATAAGAATGACAACTTTCCTAAGGTCTTAAGATTTATACCTTCTGCCTTTTATTCCACATTGTAGCTTATCCAAGCTTTCAAATTTTCATATCTGTAATTGAGCTTAGATATTTTTATAATGGTCATAAGTTAAAGGTTAATAATCCTTTACAGGAGACTCTAACAGGTAAATTACTTTTCTTAAGGTATACTGATGTTTTAGCAGGTGAGCCAAAACCATCTAAAAGTAGGCACAAACTAAAACTTCTATCGTGTAACCTTTAAAATGAACTGATACATGCTGTTATTTATTACAGAAGTAATAAAAACAAGCTAATAAACTACTACTAAAAGTTAAAATGAAGGGCTAACAGTCCTTTAGTTATTAGTGTTCTAGTCATTATTCCAGAAGTAATTTTAGAGAAAGAGGGAACAGTTGTTATACCAGTGGCAAATAAAAAAAAAGCAGAAAAGAGTAATGCTTCTGTTTGACCACCCTCCATCCAATGTTTCACATACTCTTGGTCAAATGTCTGCAACAGATAAGAAATAAAATGACTTAAATATTACCTCCAATAAAAATGACATTTAGAAGATATTTCAGAGAGCAAATACATGATGTTCCCCAGAGCAAAACAAATTACTTAAAAAATATCCATTTTCAGGATTAATCCACGGAATCGTTTTCCTGTTAGTTACATAATATAGTTATCTGTACCATCCATATTTCTCCATATAAAATTTATACAATATGGCTAAAAGCAACACAAAAATATGTACAAAATTATGTCAGTGAGTGTAATCTTTATCAATAACACCTTCAGGTTCCTAGGTTCTAATTCATTAATGACTGTATTTAATAGGGTAGCCTCTGAAAATATTGCAGACACCCAGAAATTCCAGATAACTTATTATTTAACCCCTGAAATTTAGTTTATTGGGCTATGAACAAGATAATGAAGATTTAATGATGTGAAAAAAAAATTTCAAATTAAAGTGATCCAAAAAGGAAAAGTTGACTTAACATCTAGTAGAATTCTCTAGGCAATATTCAACCTTGAAAGCTTCAGTGGGAATCTGCCATACTTCTAACTAATTGTATACCAGGTATAGCTGGCAATTAGCTGTATGCTTCACTGAGAGAGAATATTGAATCATTTATTAAGCAAACCTTATTTCTCCCAAAATTTAATATTAGCTTCAACTTCCTAAAACCACAATGACATTAATAGTAACTTATACATTAGCCATTAAATGAATTATTCACTTGTATATTTGCTCAAATAAAAATGCATACACAGAAGAAAAAAAATACATGCTACAATATGGATGAACCTTAAAAACATTATGCTAAGTGAATAAAAGCCAGTCATGAATGACCATGTATTATATAATTTCATTCATATGAGATGTCCAGAACAGAGAAATATACAGAAACAGAAAACAGATGAGGATTGGGATCATCCAATATCAGTATTACTATTATTATTAGCATAGGAATAGCTACAATGTGTGGGGTTTCTTTTGGGGCAATGAAAAAGTTCTGTAACTGTGGTGATAGTGCTCCTATCTGTGTATTGAATGTACTAAAAACCATTAAACTGTATAGTTAAAAAATGTCTATGTGGATAACTGAAAATCGTTTGCATCTATAGAGGAAAAATAACTACACAATCGAAACATAATTTGGAAGACATAAAAACGGATTTATAATCTTTGTTCCTTGCTGATGTCTTTCCCACTGGTTTAAAGAGAGAAGAAAAATTCTGCCTGTCTAGGATCTTGTTTCACTCATACTAGTTATGAATTCCTACCTTCCCTCTTATTACTCAACCCACTGAGTTCTGGTTCCCACCATCCTATTCCAAATGTTAAAACAGCCAACAATTTCTAACTTCCGAATCTAATGAATTATTTTTGGTACTTGTTTTGGAAAACCTCTTTAATCATGTTTTCCCTCTGTTCTCACACCAACACAACAACAATCAACAGAGAAGACTTCTGTGACCCCAAATACGTGGTGATTTCTCTCCACCAGCAAGCAAGCAAGCAAGCAATTCTGTAGTGGACACAGCTGGGTGTCCTCCAATTCAATTCTGACACTCTATACCTGGAGATAGTGTCAGATCCCACAGTTTGGGGCTCAGTCCCCAAGACTGCCCCACTTCAGACACCAGTTCCAAGTCTAGACCTCTGGAACTTCTGACTACCGGCTTCAAGTTGGGGTTCCCATGACCCCTGCTTTGGATTCAACTAGTTTGCTGGAGCGGATCACAGAACTCAGGGAAACACTTTATTTGTTGGTTTATTATAAAGGATACAGATGAAGAGACGCATACAACGAAGTATGGGGGAAAAGGGACGGAGCTTGCATTCTTTTCCTGGAGCCTGCCATCCTCCAGGAACCTCCATGTGTTCAGCTATCTGGAAGCGCTCTGAACCTGTCCTTTTGGGTTTTTATGAAGTCTTCATTATGTAGGCATGATTGTTGAGGAGACTGACCTTCACCAATCTCCTCATCCAGGAGGGTGGGAGCAGGGGCTGAAGTCCCAACCCTCTAATCATGCCTTTGTCCTTCCAGTGCCCAGCCTAATCTGGTATCTTGAAGCTATCAGTCAACATTAGCATACAAAGAGATAGCTCTTTGGAGATTACAGGCATTTTAGTTGTAAGCTAGGAAACAGGGAGGAAGACGAAATATATACATTTCCCAACCGTACAATACTTCTATTTTCATATCCCTCTGTTATTTTATTTTAATTAAATAATTCATTTATTTTGAGATGGAGTTTTGCTCTTATTGCCCAGGCTGGAGTGCAATGGCGTGATCTCAGCTCACTGCAACATCCACCTTCCAGATTCAAGCAGTTCTGCTTCAGCCTCCCAAGTAGCTAGGATTACAGGCATGTATCGCCCAGCTAATTTTTGAATTTTTAGTTGAGACGGGGTTTCACCATGTTAGTCAGGCTGGTCTTGAACTCCTGACCTCAGGTGATCCATTGTCCTTGGCCTCCCAAAGTACTGGGATTACCCGCATGAATCATTGCGCAAGTCCCCTCTGTTATTTTATTTTCTGTGTAACTGTTCCCTTTTGGTTGAGTTTCAGGACAAATGTTCTCAGGATTCCTCTGCTCTCTCTCTCTCTCTTTAGAGATGGGGTCCAGCCTGGAGGGCAGTGGTGAGATCATAGCTCAGTGCAGCCTTAACCTCCAGGACTCCAGTAATCCTCCCACCTCAGCCTCCTGAGTAGCTGGGACTACAAGCACATGCCACCGTGCCCCGGTTTTGCTATCTTTAGTACTTGGCCGTTCTGTTCTACTCTACTGTCCCCACTGCCTTTCCATATACAAATGATCATCAAGTCCTGCCATGATACTTCCTAAATATCTTTCAAATGTGTCTTTTCCTCTCCATTCTTTTCTATGGTCTCCTAGCCACTGTCTTTGTTTACAGTTATCTCTGCCAAAATAATCTTTCTAAAACACCAAAGTAATCTTTCCAAAACACAAATCTCATTATGGCATGGCCCTATTTAAAATCCTGTAACTACTCCTTAACTTGGCATGTCATACTCAGTATTTCTCGACTGATGCACTAATGGCATTTCAAGATAATTTTTCATTGTTTATCACTGTTTCATAGGTATTTTTAGCATCCCTGGCTTCCCAGCAGCACTCTGCACTCACTGGGACAATCAAAAGATCCCCTCACATTTCCTCACTGCCAGGGTGTTATTATCCCATGTTGACGATAGTTGGATATGACCTATGCTTCATACCTCACCAGTACCTTTACTGTCACTTTCTTTTTGTTTGAGACAGAGTCTCGCCCTGTCGCCCAGGCTGGAGTGCAGTGGCGCATCTCTGCTCACTGCAAGCTCCGCCTCCCGGGTTCACACCATTCTGCCTCAGCCTCCTGCATAGCTGGGACTACAGGTGCCCACCACCACGCCCGGGTAATTTTTTGTATTATTTTTTAGTAGAGACGGGGTTTCACCATGTTAGCCAGGATGGTATTGATCTTCTGACCTCATGATCCGCCTGCCTCAGCCTCCCAAGGTGCTAGGATTACAAGTGTGAGCCACCATGCCTGACCTTTACCGTCACTTTCTGGAATAACTTGCCACATGCTTGTGAGAGTCAGAGGGTACAATCTTATCTTTCCTTGAATACAACACTTCCTCTCACATAACTATGCCTCGGCAATCCTCTAGTCTCTCTATCTGGAATGCCCTTCCCATGCTTCTCTGTATGGACAGCTCCAATTTAAAACACTCTTAATTCAAGATTCAGGTTAGGCACCACCTTTTCAGTGACACATTCCCAAATCCTTTCAGAGGTTGGGGCCCTTTTCTGGCTATTACAGCATCTGTAAACCTCTTTTATATTTGTTTTATTTTAATTATCATGTGTCTTTTTCTAGTACAGAGACAGTGAATACTGTAGGGTCAGAGCTGTTATGTAAAACCTTTTCATATCTATGATGTTTACTTAGTACAATGCTTGGCACATGGTTAGAGATGTTCAACAGACTCATAAATTTATCTTTCTGTTGGGACTACTGAGGAATAAACTTGAACTGGAGGAAAAAAAGTCAAGCAGAGTTGCCTATATTATCTCTAAATCCTTACCCATAATCCTTCAGCTACTATTAGAGACAGACCACTTTTCATTTTGGTAATCCTCTTTGGGGTTGATATTAAACACAAAACAGAAAATCAAGGTAGTACTGAAAACAATACCTCCTGAATGAAAACAAGTTATCTTGAAGCAAGACTGTATGAGATAAACAATTCTCTTATCTTCCATGTGCCCATATCTAGTGACATCATTTTTATTTCAGTGTATGTCAAATACCTACTACTCTGGAAAGCTAACATCTAGAGGAAGATTTCTTCACCTTGGTATCTTTCACTCTATGAAAGTGTTGGTCAGATAATTTGTGGGTAGCCATTTTTGTAGGGAGAATGTCTCAAAGTGGTTATGAGTTGCCAAAAAATTTAAAAATTATTCATTTAGTAATCTGACAAAATGAAAGATTTCACAATTAAAGTACTGACTCAAATAAACAACTCAAAAATCTTTGGGTTGATGGTTTATAAACTCAGCAAGAAGGAACAAAAACTTTGCATTTAAAAAGTTCAAAAACTCATTATAAGTGAATACACTAAGTTCTTATTTGGTTGAGTGCACTATGGTGAGATACCTATTTTTCTTTTTTCTCATGACTTAATGGTATATGTCTAACTCAATTAAGAGCCTAAATATCTTAGTGATTCTGTATTTCCCAAAATTCATACATCATGGTGACATGCATAATGCAAAAAGATATTTATATATTTTCATATACTAGACCAACACCACCTTCGCCCTAAAAAACTAAAATGTTTCTGGTGTACTTCAAATATCTGCAATCTTATTCTATTACTCTAACTCAGTAATGAAAACATATATAGCAAAATTATGGTACTCTAGAAGCAATGGAAACCTTATAAATTTAATTTTTACCTGGGATTGTTTTTTAATGTATTTACTAAAAATTCATGTAGATCTATGCCAGTTGAATCAGTGTATTCTTGACTGGAATCTAAAAAACAACAACACAAAAACCCAGTATAAAGTTGTTTGAAAACAAGTCCCATTCCCTTTTACACATGATGTATATCTTAAATAAAACAAGATGCCCCACATTGAAAAAAATTTGACAAAGTAGGAAAAGTTACAATGAACTCCGGTGACCACAATTTTTCTATTCCCATATAATGTGCATGACATGAGTTTATATAACTGCATATCCATGCACATTTTTTAAAAAAATTAACCTCTCACATGTGTCTGTTTAATTTCCTCTAAATTCTTTAAAGATCCTTTTTTACTCACCACCATCTCATGTTCAAAATGCCTCCGTGGGTAAAAAATTTAAATGATTTACATAATTAACTACATTTGTAGCAAATTAAGACAGCTTAGTTCAGATATGAATATAATGGAGGCAATAATATGGAGGTAGATATAAATTTTAGTTGTGAAAGAATTTGATTCTTATGACGTCTGTTACTACCGGCTTGCTTTCAAAATACTTTTCAAATATTCGTGCTATCTTCTCCTTAAATGTAATATCCTTATACTATTTATAATACTGGTCAACATAACTGGGGTTTTAAATTTAAAAAGCATTTCTATTGATCTGCAATGCAAGGTAATAGTGAAGACCTTCCAAACTTATAAAAGAATATTACTGGATACTCAATACTATGACATCAGCTCTTTGTATCATAAGGAATTCAAGAGTGATAGTATTCTTAGTGGAATCAATATAAAAATTATAATGACTGTAGTATTTTACTATGAGTGAGGGACCAGTAAGAGATTAAGATATTTACCTTCCTCAATGTCTGTTATGTGTTACAGTTTTTGGCTGAAACGTCTTACTGATATATGGAACTGTGTTAAACCATTTTGCCCAGGTGAGTAAGTACTGTATCATCCTTCCAGTCTGTTCTGTGTCATTTTACATAAAGATATACTATATATAATCATTCGAGGGGTAAAGGATGGAATTACTGATAGCAAAATTATTTTTTTGTAAAAAAACAAAAGAACTGCAAACCTCTTGATAACATTTTTCTGGGCAACTTATCACTGGCCTTTTCTTTTTCTGCTTCATCTTTTGAAGGCTTCTCTTCTTTCTCAAATGATTGTGTTAACTGGATCTGAATTTTCTCCTGTTAGAAGGCAAAGTCAATTATTCAATGAAAATACAACATAATTCATTTAATACCACACATTTATATTTTTTGAGTGACATAAAATTGCACAGGGAAAAAAAGATTATTTTACCCAACTGGACTCTTTAAACTAAAAAACAACTTAATAATACTGAACCACTTTTATCAAAAACTTTATATAAAATGTTAAAATTCATGTTCTGAGTTGAATATATCAATTAAAACAAACCCTCAAGATTATTATGGAGAAAATAAATGTTTCCTATTATAGTTTAAGTGCATCAACTTGTAAAATCCCTGGAGGATGAGAATTCAGGTCTTCTTAACCTATTTTTGCAAGGAAGATGCCAACCAAGAGCATAATTATCATCAATCATGACAATACGAATGTATAAGTGTCAAGCCAATGATTAATAAAAATTAGGTTTCTGAGTATCCATTATCATCACACATCCCTTCATTCTCCTACCATATAAAAATATAAGTACAAAAATTTCCGAAATCAACCGCACACAACTTTATTTCCTTTTTGAGATTTATATATCACTGTCAATCCTTCGATCACCACAGTTTTTTAGAAAGATTTCAAACAAAATTGTATCCTTATAGATATGTAATGTTTAATTGTAAAGTAACCACATTCTATAAGACTGAAAGGAGAATTCACATTTTACTTTAAAAGCAATGCCATTACATGTAATTCCAGAACCCAAAGGGATTACCAGAAATTAATCCACACAGAGAGAAAAGGCAAAAATCATGTAGCTCTGTTTACTTAGGTAAAGTTGTAAAGAAAGCTATAATAAATTCTACACCAGTTTTACTAAAGATAAAGGGGTAGCCTATTTTTAGACTAAATTATAGTGTTGTTCTACAGTCATGAAAACCATTAATCAGACACGTAGATTTTTTACCACAATAGGACTGCTATCTGCTATTTTCATCTCTTTTCTTCTTCTCAATTCATCATACCAGTTCAAATTTGTGTTCATAATATAGGGTAAATGATGCACATTGGCAGTTTTCACTAGGATGACAAACACTTGCTTTATGCACTCTCTGTCTTGTTTACCAAAGACACTGGCAACTTCCTTACACTCATCAACCAGGAAGTAATTCTTCTTACTGTGATTCATTTTCCAACCCACTTTCTTTACTCTTTTCATAACTGCAAAACAGGTATCTAGAAATGAATCTCAGAACTATTTTTCAGAAGTATAATATTTAGAAGTTTTCCTGACTTGTAATTTCTATTCTGGTTACTCAAGAGGAACCCAATGAAAGCCAGGCCGGGAGAAAAGATTTCACACTACCCCCTCTTAGATCTTCACTAAAAGGTACTTCCAGTAACTAGCAGATTTCATTTCTAAGCTCTCCTCAAAAAGCCATACATTTTAATTACAGATATTAAACTATTTTATCAAAATGAACTATATTTTTAAAATCTTGTAAGTTTAATGTACTGAGGCCTGTCTTCAGTTGGCCTAGTTTTCAGTAGCGATACAAATAAGATATATTTTAAACACTGAAGTCCTTATATACAAAATCTTCAGACTATAAATAACTGGAATAATAGCTACCTCTCCATAGGAAGCTGCAATTCCTTTACTCTTCACTCTGTCAATGACATCTGTTATTGAGGTCACTTCCCTCTCACAAGCTCTCATCAGATACCAAGTGACATCTCTCTCTTAATTGCCTCTCAACTTTTTGAATGATGAGTTTTATTCCAGATTAATTCCTCAAAAATCACATTCTGAATCAAGCAAATTAGTTGGAAAGTGTGTCTACCATCAAGGATTAGATACTAGTACCTTTCATGAGAAATAATTTATTTTCCAATTTCCACCCAGGTGCAATTTATTTATCTCAAGGCTTGGAAAAATACTTCTTACTAGAAGAAGTATCTTTTATTCAGAAGATTTTATTCATAGGCAATTATCCAAAAAGAAAAAGCTTATTGGATTTAAGAGAAACTGAGAAAGAATATATTAAGGGAAATAACTGAGTTTTGATATAGCTTCTTTAGTCATTACCCAGATGCCGTAACTCATCTTTTTGAACTGCCAACACAAAAAATTATCTATGATCAATAATGTATCTATCAATACACAACATATATTCCTGTTATTTTTTCCTCATATAAATTTTCACTAGCCAAATTTAGTACCATAACAGGTACTGAAGATTTTTCAAATAGGTAAAATGCACTACAAAAAACAAAGGTCATGATACAGCTTTTGATTTTTCAAAAATTACACACTTTTTCTGTATTAACAGATTTATGAATGCCTGACCCTTCTTTCCTCAATCTCTTTTGACTGTCATGAGGCTAAGATGGTGTAACATCTGTTTTTTGGTCAACAGAACGAATAAATGAATTTTCAAAAACATTACAGTACCTACTACTCCATCCCAAGCAGGTGTATTCTTTACTCTGACTTGTACAAAAGATCTTTTTTTTTTTCCTTTTTTGAGATAGAGTTTTGCTCTTGTCACCCAGGCTGGAGGGCAATAGTGTAATCTCGGCTCCCTGGAACTTCTGCCTCCTGGATTCAAGCTATTCTCCTGCCCCAGCCTCCTGAGTAGCTGGGATTACAGGCTTGTGCCACCACGCCTGGCTAATTTTTGTATTTTTAGTAGAGACGGGGTTTCACCATGTTGGCCAGGCTGGTCTCAAACTCCTGGCCTTAAATGATCCACCCACCTCAGCTTCCCAAAGTGCTGGGATTACAGGCGTGAGCCACTGTGCCTGGCCAAAAAGAACTTTTAAAAAGTGGTGTTTCAAAAAATAATTTTAGCGATTTTTTTTTTTTTTTTTGAGACGGAGTCTCTATCTGTCGCCCAGGCTGGAGTGCAATGGCACGATCTCAGCTCACTGCAAACTCTGCCTCCCAGGTTCACATCATTTTCCTGCCTCGGCCTCCCAAGTTGCTGGGACTACAGGCACCCGCCACCACGCCCAGCTAATTTTTTGTATTTTTAGTAGAGACAGGGTTTCACCGTGTTAGCCAGGATGGACTCGATCTCTTGACCTCGTGATCCACCCGCCTCGGCCTCCCAAAGTGCTGGGATTACAGGCGTGAGCCACTGCGCCTGGCCTTGATTTTTTTTTCAGACTATAGTATAGCTGTCCAGTTTTCTTACAGTCATGCAAAAGCCAAAGGTTAATATTTGAAAATGTTCTCCAGGCAAGGATTTAGTAAATATTTAGACTGTATTTCTACTTTTTGCTAGAAAGTCTATTTCACTGCTAAAATGTATCTATTTTATCAAATAAATGCATACAGTGACCTCCTATGTAGATACATTAAAAAAAAAAAAATCGGCTGGGCACGGTGGCTCACCTGAGCTCAGGAGTTTGCAGCCAGCCTGGCCAACATGGTGAAACCCCGTCCCTACTAAAAATACGTGGTGGTAGGTGCCTATAATCCCAGCTATTCGGCAGGCTGAGGCAGGAGAATCACTTGAACCTGGGAGGCGGAGGTTGCAGTGAGCTGAGATCGCACCATTGCACTCCAGCCCGGTCAACAAGAGTGAAACTCCATCTCAAAAAAAAAAATAAAAAAATAATAAAAATAAAAACAAAAAAAAATTCATAAATTAATTTTCAACCTTGTGTTTCTGATGCAAAGAAATGTCAAAGCAAACAGATTTTAAAGTACATTTCATTGACAACAATCTATTTCGAAACATTTTCCTTGCATTTTCAAGCAATAAAATGCAGTGCTTTTCAAAAACAGTACATATTCTAAATATGTGACAACTATCCTCAATATCTGTAAAAGGCTTTTGAGGGTATCATGTAAATCAAGGGAAAGTACAACAATTTTAGTTTGAATCACCAAATGCATAATGATAATTACTTTACAAAAAAGATGTACGTGTCATGGATCAGTCATGGCTTCTTAAATAACCACAAAATTGCCCAAATTCCTTGCAAACTGTCTGTTGGGGTAAAGGAGTATTTTCAGCTGCTCAAACTCTTATTAAGTAGAACAAGCCAGTAGGCAAAGTTATTACAAGATAAACATTGGTAAAGGGTCCAAAAATATCTATGCATAAATATACAGATGTAACATGAGACAGAGATCAACCCATGGCTGAGATTAACAGAAAAGTAGTTATAGCATTAAAAATAATGTAAGGGACAAACTAAATGGTTTGCCTAAACCTCAGTGTTCTAAATTTTACAAGAATAGACATGTGAGAAATCAGAAGTACTAGATTATTATTAAAGAGCCAAGCTAATATGAAAATTGGTTTCACCATGTATTCAGGTTACATTAAATAACCTGTCAAGAACAAGTCTTGGCTAGTCTCTTTACATACAAGCATTAAGTATCTGACAAATTTCTAAAAGATAAAATTAAAAGGGCAAATTTCACCACAATTATATTCACTGGAAGTGCTACCTTAACATTTTTTTAACTTTATAAAAATTAATTTATAACTTTCTTAAAGCCACATTCCTAATTAGTTACATGCTTCCTAAGTTTTTCCCGAAGAGAAATCATTGCTCTAAGCCTTAGACTGAAGCAAAGAGGTTTTCTAACGTTTCATGTATATCTTGGGTGCCAAGTATTATTGAATCAGTTTCATTTAGTCAAAATAAAACAAATATAACAACACAACTTAAATCATATATAAAAATTCTCCAGTTCCACCATGTCTTGAAATAACATTTGTTTTGCTTTTTTACCTGGTTCTCCTGTGATATCTCTGGTGCAGGTGGTGGTGGAGATTCTTCACACACTGCAAGGCTCCGAACTAGCTTTAACTTTGAGCTTGACTAAAGAGAAGTATTTATAATTAACACTACATTTCAGAAATCGAGGGCATATCCAAAAGCCCCCTAGAAAGAGTTTCTAAGTTTCTTCATAGTTTCTGCCATGTATAACAGTAGATGAAATGTGCAAGTTAAATATATCATTAAACACTACTAAAAGCCTTTGTTAAGAAGGAAAACAAACAATTGCAGTTTTGAAAATTATAGCAATAGAAAGAATGGGAATAATTCCAACTTCATATCCCAAAGAATGGTGAGAAAGCGATTTTCTCTACAGATAAAGAACCATCAAGATAAAAAAAGCAATGCACAAAAGCGACTAGGCAAGACAAAAATCCCAAATAAAACAAAATAAGCTTTCTGCCCCCCATAAAATATGAAAGAACTAAACTGAATGTAGTGCTATATGAAAACAAGGATTTATCAAGCATGACGGAAGGCCCTTGGCATGCCAGCACACCAAAATATTTACTATACCTTAGACCTTTTTCCTGTCTGTCCAAATGACTGCAATGGCCGCTGAATATACAAGAAAGATTTGTATTAAATTTCATACTGAAACAGAAAATTTGCTTCTTAATTCATACTCCTAAACCACAGAAAAACTAACTGTGCATAAAGTATGAAAAGTGAGGAAATCAAAGTTGGTTTCAGTAAAAGAGTACTGATTCCTCCCAGAAGCACACCTGCAGAAGATTCTTTAAAATCCTGGTAGGTTGGCATTTTTATTATTATTTTTCTTTCTTAGGCACTTTTCTTTAAATCAGCAAATGGCCACAATTTCTGTGTTGAGTACAATGGAACTTATATGGTGACTTCTTAGTAGTGAAATAAAAAAAATATACTTCATTATTTTACCATATATTATAGTTTAGCCAAGGTTAAGGAAAAACAACACACACAAAAACCAGCAGTTTAAGGTAGATACACTCTGAAAAGTTCTAAACTTAATAAGAATGTTTCAAATGCACAGTGAGTCAGAGTCCAATCACAAATCTACTGAGGTGTTTCAACACTGTATGAAGTACACCACCAGTTTATTAGTGATGGAAACCTATTCATCAGGTCTGAGGTGAGGCAATGAAGCAGAAAGGAAGAAAAAAGGGCAGACTTCCAATACGGATATCCAGCATGACTGATAGGCCGACCATCAGTCACATGATTGGAGAACGCTGTAAGGCAAACTAATTCATGTTTGTGATACAAGCTTTGGTTTGGGAAACCAGCTGAAGCACCTGTGAGCCAGAGCCACATAGGTTTTAAACAAACCACAGCCAGGTAAGTTTTAAACATTCCTTCCTACATTCCTTCCTTCTGTCTGTCTGTCCTTCCTTCCTTGTGTCCTTCCTTCCTTCCATCCTTCCTTCCTTCCTTCAACCTTGTGTTTCTGATGCAAAGAAATGTCAAAGCAAACAGATTTTAAAGTACATTTCATTGACAACAATCTATTTCAAAACATTTTCCTTGCATTTTCAAGCAATAAAATGCAGTGCTTTTCAAAAACAGTACATATTCTAAATATGTGACAACTATCCTCAATATCTTGAGGTCCTTTCGTCCTTCCTTCCTTTCATTCTTTCTTCCAATTTTCCTCCCCAAACCCAACACCAAATAGTACATGGCCCAAATATCTATCATTTTTACTTCTTAACATGAGGGAGCCAGTCTGGTACCAAACATAAAACAGATACAAAATCCTTAATATCCAGACTAGTATGCTTTACATTAAAAACAATAACAACAACAAAAACCCATCATTTTATTTTAAAAAGGCCTTCCTTGTAGAGTCAACAGAAACAAGAGTCTACATATCAGTATGTCCTGTTCCCATTTTGAGCCAAAAGTCCTTCAAAATTAAAAAGCACTGTACTCTTGGGATTTTAACCCTAGATTACACAAACTACAGAATAACAACAAAAGGAAAATAGAAAAAATAAAGGAAAAATAATTTTGTTCCTTATATAGAAGAAAATAGTATGCGTGTGCACACATGCATACGGCAGTGCTGCCTAAGAGGGCTTCTGCATGTTGGTATTGCCTTGTTTTTACCTACTCTCTAATTTGTTCAAGAGGATTTCTAATTACCCGTAACTCACATCTAACAATGTAAGTAAAATAAGTTATGCTTACCATCTAGATTAGGTGGTAGATGCCACCATCTCTAGGGCTTACAGGAAAAAAAATAAGTGGGAGAAAAGCAACAGGTGAATAACTATGAAAATGCACATAACTAAATGAGTTCTGAGGAAGCAGAAGGGAAAATAATTTGTGACTTACTCCCAGTCCTCTGCTTTAATTTCTTGTAATTTTAAGTATCACTAGAATAAAATCTTCTATTAAAAATTCTAAAATGAAAGGGGTCATTAACTGGCAATGTAAATCCTGTACTCATATGCAAAAGTGCTGGACTTAAATTTTTGAATTTGCTTCTTATTAGTGGGTAACTATGGTCAAATTACTTCAGTTTACTTTTACCTGTCTGAAAGTTCATACTATTTGCACTAATTCACAGGATTCTTGAAAGGATTCAATGAAAGCATAGCTAATAAAGGGGCTTCGAAAACTCTAAAGTGTTATAAATGTAATTGATTATTAAAGGTTAGGAACTGACCATATCAGAAAACTAATGTGCTGCCTCTGCTTATTAGCAATGAGATTAAGATAAATTACTTAATCTAACAAATGCTAATTTTAAAAACATCTATAAAATGGGGATGCTGTAATGCTTGAGAATATTCATAGACTCACACATGTATTAACTATCTCACTTTTAATCTACAAGGAGGCTTTGATGAAAATGAGGAAAAGATAAAGGAAGATACAGAGAAGTAAAATTATCTTAATTTGACTTCATTTAATAAACATGTTTTAGGTTCCTGCTGTACCCCAGACATTGTGCTAGGCACTAGGGCTATGAAGATGAATAAGACATAGTTCCTGGTCTTAAAGACCTCACAGTCCAGAATCAGTTACTAAAGTCAAACGGAACCCCAGATCTTCAGAATCTTAGTCCAGTGCAATTAATACCTTTAAAAAAACTTTATTGTGGATTAAATTCTACCTGAGGTAGACAGAATTCTAAAGATGGCCCAAAAGATTCCCACCCACTGGTTATTTAATCAAACACAAATCAAGGTACTGCTGAGAAAGGATTTTGCTCTTTTTTTTGTTTCGTTTTGTTTTGAGACTAAGTCTCACTCTGTTGCCCAGGCTGCAGTGCAGTGGCATGATATTGGCTCGCTGCAACCTCCGCCTCCCAGTTTCAAGCGATTCTCCCGCCTCAGCCTCCCAAGTAGCTCAGATTACAGGCGCCCGCCACCATGCCCCACTAATTTTTGTATTTTTAGTAGAGACAAGGGTTTCACTGTGTTGGTGAGGCTAGTATCAAATTCCTGACCTTAAGTGAGCGGCCTGCCTTGGCCTCCCAAAGTGCTGGAATTTCAGGTGTGAACTACCATGCCCTGCTGGATTTTGCATTTGTTAACTAAGCTCCAAGCCAGATGATCTTAAGATACAATCTAAGATTCAGGTGAGTCTGATTCAATCAAGTGAGCCCTATAAAAGCTGAGACTTTTTCTCTGGTGGGAGCATGGTGCCAAGTCAGAGAGATTTAAAGCGTGAGAAGGACTTGACGTACTATTGATGGCTTTGAAGATAGAGGGGCCATGTAAGGAGGATTATGAGTAGCCTCTTGGAACACAGTGGCCTTTACTGACAACCAGCCAAAAAACAGGACCTCAGACCTACAGCTTCAACAAACTAAGGTGTGTCAACAACTGGAATGAGCTTTGAAGTAAATTATTTCCCAAAGTCTTGAGAAAACGGCCCAGTCTGGCTGACACCTTTGACTTTGGCCTCACAGAACCCTAAATGGCAACCCAGATGGGCCCACTGTGAGCTGATAACGGGTGTTGTTTTTTAAGCCTCTATGTGGTAATTTTTATGCAGCAATAGAAAACTAATACACTACTATATAAGTAAACTATAAATTGCCAAAGTGGATTATTCAATAACATAATTTATTTAGAAATTATATGTACTAGAAAATATGCCATACACACACAACAAAGCAGGGAATACAAGTTGTTTATTAAAGTAAACATACTTTATTTCATATTTTTTAATCTACTTGGCAGCCAGATTTGGCTTTAAATAGGAATTCCCTCTATTTGATATGTAATTATTTTAAAAAAGGATTTTATTATTTAGAGCACACTTCTCACCCTTAGCAGAATTTCACGGTCACAGTAAAAATTTAGCAGCTTGTTTAATAGACCTGTATTAGTCCAGAGAAATGCTATCTAAATTAGAATTTAGAAGGCTTAGGGACAAAGTCCCCAATTTATAATTTACGTTGTTTTATACTGAAGTATAAAACAGGAACTAGGCCAAAAAATGGGTGCAGAATATGAAACATCCTTAATACAATTTCAGTTTGAAATTGATACTAATATGTTGTCAGAGCTACCAGCTACTAGAATTTGGAGAACAACTGAAGAAAACAGAGCAATCCTTATGAGTTATATATGCATTAGCACAAAAATAACCAATTAAATATCACTCAACTAACAAAATCTGACATTTAAAAAATAGGAATAATTTTCTCTTTGTAATTAATAATTGTTATGAAGAAAAATTATAATGGTTACACCCTTTCAACCAGACTCAAAACACCTTGAAGTGCTTACAAATTCTCAGTACTTTTCTAGGTAATAGTAAAGACTAGTGGCAATTATAAGGAAGATAATGAATTAAAATGTTCCATGTCTAGTTAAGGTCAGGGCAGTAAAAATAATAGATGCCAGGATGCTAATTTCTACTGGAATAAAAGAAAAATACAAAGTTCCCTGAGGTAGGAGAGCTATTTTAAAAATCAATAAGCCAAACACAATCACTAATTTGTTTTTAACATTTAACCCTTTGAGCCAGAAAGCACAGAGTTAAGTATTCGAAGGCCTGACTCTTAGATTCTAATACAAGTATGTGGAGAAAGTCACAAACTATCTGGTTTATAGTTATTCCTTATAATAAATGAAGATACAGGATCATCCCATCCTGCTGGTGGTGTACATAAAAATTATCCAAAGAAGTACAAACTGTGTAGGTATGCAAAAGCATTTCTACAACTACAACATGTAGCCAACATCTTTACACATCACAAGAAAGCACCGTGAAAAGTAAATGTGCTTAAAAGAGCTACCATATGTGCACATGACCCAAGTTCAGTAGAAAGAGCACCAAATCCTAGAAATAATTATAAAAATATACTATGGAAAATGTATCGTAAGTTTTAAAAAGTTGAACTCATTCAATATTAATAAAAACAATAAAAATACAGCATACAGATATAGAACTTAATAGAAATAAAACTACCGTACTGAAAATGTGGGGAGGTTATATTAAAAGTAAGTTTTACTCTTTATTTTATTACTAAAGAAAAAATCTATCTTGCATGACAATAAAGGGACAAATCTTTGAGAAGCCACATAATCGTGCTATTGCTAATAAATAGTAACAAT